AAAACTGACTTTTTTTATGATGCCGGCTATGGAAAACGTTGAAGTTTTTGAGGCATTTTGTAAAAAATCTAAATTTGTTCTTTTCTCGCTGTATACCGAATCTAATGAGTTGAACTCTTCGGGGAAATCAATTCTGGCCACTAGGCACCTCTTGTTAACTTTTGAGCAAATTTGGTGAAGTTGGATTTTTGTGTCAAAAACTGACTTTTTCGATGATGCCGTCTATAGAAAACGTTGAAGTTTTGGGGCATTTTGTAAAAAATCTAAAATTGTTCTTTTCTCACTGTATACCGAATGTAATGAGTTGAACTCTTCAGGGATTTCAATTCTGGCCACTAGGCACCTCTTGTGAACTTTTGAGCAAATTTGGTGAAGTTGGATTTTTGGGTCAAAAACTGACTTTTTGCGATGATGCCGGCTATGGAAAACGTTGAAGTTTTGGGTGCATTTTGTAAAAAATCTAAAAGTTTCTTTTCTCTCTGGAAACCTGAATGTAATGAGTTGAACTCTTCAGGGATTTCAATTCTGGCCTCTAGGCACCTCGTGTGAACTTTTGAGCAAATTTGGTGAAGTTGGATTTTTGTGTCAAAAACTGACTTTTTTTATGATGCCGGCTATGGAGAACTTTGAAGTTTTGGGGCATTTTGTAAAAAATCTAAAATTGTTCTTTTTTCACTGTATACCGAATGTAATGAGTTGAACCTTTCAGGGATTTCAATTCTGGCCTCTAGGCACCTCGTGTGAACTTTTGAGCAAATTTGGTTAAGTTGGATTTTTGGGTCAAAAACTGATTTTTTGATGATGCCGGCTATGGAAAACGTTCAAGTTTTGGGGCATTTTGTAAAAAATCTAAAATTGTTCTTTTCTCACTGTATACCGAATGTAATGAGTTGAACTCTTCAGGGAATTCAATTCTGGCCATTGGGCAACTCGTGTAAACTTTTGAGCAAATTTGGTGAAGTTGGATTTTTGGGTCAAAAACTGACTTTTTCGATGATGCCGGCTATGGAAAACGTTGAAGTTTTGGGGGCATTTGGTAACAAATCTAAAATTGTTCTTTTTTGAGTTGAACTCTTCGTGGAATTAAATTCTGGCCACTAGGCACCTCGTGTGAACTTTTGAGCAAATTTGGTGAAGTTGGATTTTTGGGTCAAAAACTGACTTTTTCGATGATGCCGGCTATGGAAAACGTTGAAGTTTTGGGGGCATTTTGTAAAAAATCTAAAAGTTTCTTTTCTCTCTGGAAACCTGAATTTAATGAGTTGAACTCTTCAGGGATTTCAATTCTGGCCTCTAGGCACCTCGTGTGAACTTTTGAGCAAATTTGGTGAAGTTGTATTTTTGTGTCAAAAACTGACTTTTTTTATGATGCCGGCTATGGAAAACGTTGAAGTTTTTGAGGCATTTTGTAAAAAATCTAAATTTGTTCTTTTCTCGCTGTATACCGAATGTAATGAGTTGAACTCTTCGGGGAAATCAATTCTGGCCACTAGGCACCTCTTGTTAACTTTTGAGCAAATTTGGTGAAGTTGGATTTTTGTGTCAAAAACTGACTTTTTCGATGATGCCGTCTATGGAAAACGTTGAAGTTTTGGGGCATTTTGTAAAAAATCTAAAATTGTTCTTTTCTCACTGTATACCGAATGTAATGAGTTGAACTCTTCAGGGATTTCAATTCTGGCCTCTAGGCACCTCTTGTGAACTTTTGAGCAAATTTGGTGAAGTTGGATTTTTGGGTCAAAAACTGACTTTTTGCGATGATGCCGGCTATGGAAAACGTTGAAGTTTTGGGGGCATTTTGTAAAAAATCTAAAAGTTTCTTTTCTCTCTGGAAACCTGAATGTAATGAGTTGAACTCTTCAGGGATTTCAATTCTGGCCTCTAGGCACCTCGTGTGAACTTTTGAGCAAATTTGGTGAAGTTGGATTTTTGTGTCAAAAACTGACTTTTTTTATGATGCCGGCTATGGAAAACGTTGAAGTTTTAGGGCATTTTGTAAAACATCTAAAATTGTTCTTTTCTCGCTGTATACCGAATGTAATGAGTTGAACTCTTCGGGGAAATCAATTCTGGCCACTAGGCACCTCTTGTTAACTTTTGAGCAAATTTGGTAAAGTTGGATTTTGGATCAAAAACTGACTTTTTTGATGATGCCGGCTATGGAAAACTTTGTAGTTTTGGGGCATTTTGTAAAAAATCTAAAATTGTTCTTTTCTCACTGTATACCGAATGTAATGAGTTGAACTCTTCAGGGAATTCAATTCTGGCCTCTAGGCACCTCGTGTGAACTTTTGAGCAAATTTGGTGAAGTTGGAGTTTTGGGTCAAAAACTGATTTTTTGATGATGCCGGCTATGGAAAACGTTGAAGTTTTGGGGCATTTTGTAAAAAATCTAAAAGTTTCTTTTCTCTCTGGAAAGCTGAATGTAATGAGTTGAATTCTTCAGGGATTTCAATTCTGGCCTCTAGGCACCTCGTGTGAACTTTTGAGCAAATTTGGTGAAGTTGGATTTTTGTGTCAAAAACTGACTTTTTTTATGATGCCCGCTATGGAAAACGTTGAAGTTTTTGAGGCATTTTGTAAAAAATCTAAAAAAAATTCTTTTCTCACTGTATACCGAATGTAATGAGTTGAATTCTTCAGGGATTTCAATTCTGGCCTCTAGGCACCTCGTGTGAACTTTTGAGCAAATTTGGTGAAGTTAGATTTTTGTGTCAAAAACTGACTTTTTTGATGATGCCGGCTATGGAAAACGTTGAAGTTTTTGAGGCATTTTGTAAAAAATCTACAATTGTTCTTTTCTCACTGTATACTGAATGTAATGAGTTGAACTCTTCGGGGAATTCAATTCTGGCCACTATGCACCTCTTGTAAACTTTTGAGCAAATTTGGTGAAGTTGGATTTTTGTGTCAAAAACTGACTTTTTCGATGATGCCGTCTATGGAAAACGTTGAAGTTTTGGGGCATTTTGAAAAAAATCTGAAATTGTTCTTTTCTCACTGTATACCGAATGTAATGAGTTGAACTCTTCAGGGATTTCAATTCTGGCCTCTAGGCACCTCGTGTGAACTTTTGAGCAAATTTGGTGAAGTTGGATTTTTGTGTCAAAAACTGACTTTTTTTATGATGCCGGCTATGGAAAACGTTGAAGTTTTGGGGGCATTTTGTAAAAAATCTAAAATTGTTCTTTTTTGAGTTAAACTCTTCAGGGAATTAAATTCTGGCCACTAGGCACCTCGTGTGAACTTTTGAGCAAATTTGGTGAAGTTGGATTTTTTGGTCAAAAACTGATTTTTTTATGATGCCGGCTATTGAAAACGTTGAAGTTTTGGGGATATTTAGTAAAAAATCTAAAATTGTTCTTTTCTCACTGGATACTAAATGTAATGAGTTGAACTCTTCAGGGAATTCTATTCTGGCCTCTAGGCACCTCGTGTGAACTATTGAGCAAATTTGGTGAAGTTGGATTTTTGGGTCAAAAACTGACTTTTTTTGATGATGCCAGCTATGGAAAACTTTGAAGTTTTGGGGGCATTGTGTAAAAAATCTAATATTTTTTTTTTTCTCACTGGATACCGAATGTAATGAGTTGAACTCTTCAGGGAATTCAATTCTTGCCTCTAGGCACCTCGTGTAAACTTTTGAGCAAATTTGGTGAAGTAGTATTTTTGTGTCAAAAACTGACTTATTTGATTTTGGGGGCATTTTGTAAAAAATCTATGGAAAACATTGAAGTTTTGGGGCATTTTGTAAAAAATCTAAAATTGTTTTTTTTCACTGTATTCGGAATGTAATGAGTTGAACTCTTCAGGGAATTCAATTCTGGCCTTTAGGCACCTCTTGTAAACTTTGAGCAAATTTGGTGATGTTGGATTTTTGGGTAAAAAACTGCCTTTTTTTTATGATGCCGGCTATGGAAAACGTTGAAGTTTTGGGGCATTTTGTAAAAATTCTAAAAATTTTCTTTTCTCACTGGATACTGAATGTAATGAGTTGAGCTCTTCAAAATGTTTAAAGTAGTAAAATTGTGACCCAACCCAACAAAATGAGTCACAAGTTGCCAGGGCTACTTTAGATTAATTTGCTTTTAAAAGAATCCAACCATATGGAAGTCAGTAGGTTTTCCTAAACTTTTTAATCCTCAAAATATCCAAATATATCAAGATTTCAAAGTGAGGAATATATCAAAATGAAGAGCAACTTGCCGGTATGCTCTCCCTAGTACATAATAATAATAGTAATACTGAAGTCTTATATAGCGCACGTATCTACCAACAATTAGGTACTCAAGGCGCTGGAAATTATGTCTATTATTGAAGACAGGTAAATGAAGTTAATGAGAAATGTGAGACCCATTATGTATCACCTTTATAAAGGGTATACAAGGTGATGTGGCGAATATTGCAGCCACTGTCAGAAACACCGGGGCAAACCCCTTTTCTTAGCAATAAGTGTTACTGGGTTCTTCAACGTGCATCACACAACACACGGGACCTACGGCTTTACGTCCTATCCGAAGGACGAAGCAATAATGGTAAAGTGCCTTTCTCAAGAGCACAAGCACCATGTTCCCCGTCAGGATTCGAACCCACGTGCCACGGCACACGAGTTGAACACCGTAACCATTGGACCACAGCACCCCACATTGAAAATTGTGGGGTGAGAACTCTACCATGTCTACTGTATCATACGTCCCACCCGAAGGACGAAGCAATAATGGTAAAGTGCCTTGCTCAAGAGCACAAGCACCATGTTTCCACGATCAGGATTCGAACCCATGTACCACGGCACACGAGTCGAACACCGTAACCATTGGTCCACAGCACCCCACATGTAAAATACTAATAAGTGAAAAATTGACCTTCAGACTCATTTTGTGGGATTCTGTCACAACTGTATGTCGAAGGCTCAGGTTTAACTGTTTGACAAAAAAGTAGCTTGATCAGTTGTAAGAGTAATTGTTCAAAGATATTCCATCCGATTTTCCTCCTTGGTACAGCTTTGCTTATCTGGTGCACCTGCACTTCATGCCGTCTTGGAACACTATAACATATACCAAGGTATAACTGCCTCCTTGTACCACTTCTATGGTCAAGCTAGCATCCAACCAGTCAGCATAGTGGAAGACTCAACTGTCATATCAAGTAGCGTGGCATCAGGTCTGTCTACTGCAACTACACCAGGTCAGAACCATAACACTGCAATATTGGCATTCTTCTATGTTTATTTCATGGAAATGGCAAAGTACTTTACACAACTGTCATTCCTGATGGAAAGGTCTTATTGGATCCTTATAGCTCCTTCACACCAAAGTAGTTCTCAAAACATCCTACCCCGTCCAATTGCCTGTTCACCTCATGCGGAAAACGTTTCCAAGCAGTCCAAGCCCCTCCGTAGTCAGTTTAAACCCATTCTGAACTTGTTCTACCTCGTTCCCAATACTTAAGAAGCACCATTGAAAAGGCCTTCTTTTGTTGATTTCTTCAAAATGACAGCTTGCCTGAAAGAATAACTTTACACAGAGTTTAGTCCCCTTACTATCTTTCACCCAAGTATGTGTTTCAACAATAATTACGCCAGTTACTTTTTTGATAGCTGCAAATGATGGACTCTGGCTTTAATAATATTTTCATTTTGTGTACAGATGTTGGTAGTAGCCAATCAAATGGTGGTAGTCCTAACACGGTAGGGCAACCCAACTTGATGGAGGAAGACCAACCTCAAGTAAGTCCAGTCAAAAGAATATGTTTCTTGTTTTGTAATAAAAAATGTTGATGTCTTAATGCTGTATGCTTGCATGGTGTAAATGACAACGGTCAAATGTTGCTGACAATGCAGAGGTGTGAATGTCAAACTATCGTGGTCATTCTTATGAACATCATCAGCTGACGGTGCATGGCTGCAAAAGTTCTAACTAGCGACAGATCTGTTTACGCTTGTAATCTGGGCCTAATTTCATGGCGCTACTAAGCACAAAAATTTGCTTGGCACAAAAAAAGGTCTGGCTTATAAAAGCAGGTTAACATTCAAAACTCCATGTGGTTTTCATGCTAAGCAAACAACAGCTGAATACTAATCACGAGCAATAAACATCACATTGACTTTTGGCTGGTAACCTGCTTTTATAAGCCAAACTTTTTTTTGTGCTTAGCAGCACCGTGAAATTGGGCCCTAGCATGTGCATTGCCAAAAAAAGGAAATACCACATCTCACTACATGTATATGTATAATTCATTTTCATTTTCAAACTCATTTGCATTTTAACATTCCTTTTTTTTTACTTGCTAAAGAAGTAAAAAAAAAAAAAAAAAAATAGGGTTGGGTAACCAGAAGCAGACAATTTTTTTTATTATGTTAGCCATTATAATGAATTGTGTATGTATCTTTATTTGACAGATATTCTCATCTTCAGCAGATAGTGGTGGGCTGTCTGCTGGCACATCGCTAGCTGTACAGTCCAATCAAGGTACCCTCATCTTATTTGATATGCCTAGTTGTGAGTTACTCACGTTACATTTTTAATGTACTTTTGAGTTTCCTTGGGCTGTAATTACCAATACTGAAAAGGTTAGATAACTGTTATCCCCATGGTAGATAGAGTAGACCTAGACCTACCTAAGCACCAAAGATAACATCCAGAAAATTTGTTGTGTATGATAAACAAGACGCACAAAATCGGTTACTCATGTTACATTTTACAGTCGGCGTCTTTTCAAAATATTCCTTCTCATTAAAAGTACTCAGTCAATTCGGCCTTGACAGAATCAGATAAGGACTCTGTATCCTGAAGCACCATCCATTGTTGGGCCTACTGTATGATGTCAACTCCGCATTATCTAGTCACATATGTGATGCGATCAAGCTACATGAGTCATTTGTTGACCCAGGTCATTTTTTTTTTATTACATATTTGAAAAGAGCACAATCTCAGCATTACTGCTGTGAAAACCGCATGCTGGTACCATCTTTAGTTCAAAAATTATGCAAGTTGGAACACCAAGAGATGTGATGTGATGAGGTGGCCCTATTTTGGCCTGTATCTCTAAATAAAAATTCCCGACAAACGACTCATGTAGCTTGATCACATCACATATGTCATGTCACAGGGGTGTGAAATCTCAGCAGCTGATTTCAGCTTTTTTGTTTTGGATTTCAGCTTTTTTCCCTCAGTTGCTGTGTACAAAAGTGTAGGAGATTTCCAAAGTTCAGCTTTTTTACACCTTTTTCAGCTGTTTTCAGCTATTTTTATCAGTGGTCACTCTCACCCTTAGTGTCAATAGATGGTGATTGTTCTAAGTCATTTCTGCTTAGCGTGGTAGGTGACATTATTGTTTCTTACCACTAATGGGCTCAAGTGTGGCCAGGGAATGGAAAGTAAGTTTTTGGCACATTATTTGATTCATTACAGGCTCCAGCAAATCCAGCTCATCTTACTCAGCAGGTCGTGCTGTGACAAGACCAAACACCACTGGACGTTACATCAGTGTGGTTACCCCAAGTCTTGTGGCTGCGTTCAGCTGTCTCCTGCGAAACCTTATAGCTCTGTCTCCTCAAGAAACTATTGTCATGATTGATAAGGAAGGCATTCTCAAACAGTTGATCAGGTGAAGCATTTGTCACAGTTCCAGTTTACAATAGGTATTTAAAGCCAGAGTCCATCATTTGCAGCTATCCATAATTGCATAATTATTGTTGAAAAACATACTTGGTTGAAAGATAGTAAGGGGACTAAACTCCCTGTAAAATTATTCTTTCTGGCAAGCTGTCATTTTGAAGAAATCAACGAAAGAAGGCCTTTCCTACGGTGCTTCTTAAGAAGCACTGTAGGAAATTCAAATTAGTATTTCGTTTTGTTATTCGGCAAAGCGCACGCAAGCATTGGCACGATGCATACGCGTGCGCGGTTGCTATAATTAGTCGGATCAGTGCGCGACATCGCGTAGCTGCAATCGGCTCAGTGAGAACGTGTATCGGACGCTGAATTCAGGCCCAATTCAAAACATGATTCAGCAACTTTTGATTTGAAATCACGATCCTAGAATGGTGTTTTTCTCAAAATACACAGCTAAAGCTGAGCTGAAACTTCATCAGGGTAGTTGTTCAGCACCCTTCTTTAGATCTTGAGCACTTTTGTTGCTTCAAACGAACAAAATGCACAAATTACAAATGATGGACTATACCTTTAATTGAACACTCAGTGGGAAAATAAGTTGATCTTGTCAGATAAATAAAAATGTGGAGATTTATGTATTGACCTCAACCGGCATGGTACAAAAGCACATCCGTGTTTACTGAAGTTGAATGTAACTCCCTATTTCATACATCTTGTTTGAAGGCTTGTAGATGTGGAGGGTATATCCAATCTCCTGCATCGTCTGACACTGTCTTCTAGCCCTGAGCACAGCAAGACATGCCTTCAGCTTTCTGGTCATCTCGTGATGTGTTGTGATATACTCAGATTATATCAGGCATACAAACAAGCCCAGGACCAATGCAAAACTACCAGCGTGGATGACAAGTCTGTGTTTTTGCTGGCTTGCAGGTTATTGGGCTTATCCAGCACTTCTGCAACAGGTATGCCGCTGTTTTTTGGTCAAATTTTGTGTGCCAGTGATTCTTGCTAGTGAAGGAGATTTCTGTTCTTTTTGATGAAGAAATTAGACAAATCATTGATTTGGGGGTAAGCTGGCATCAACTTGTGATTCTATCCGAGTTAGGCCATTCTTTAATTACTTGGATTACGGAAATCAAAAAAAAAAAATTAAGAAATCAAAAGTTCCACTTTTGATGACCAAAAGAAATTCAGTTTTATGCCCCATGGCGAAGGCGAAGGGGCATACTGTTTCCGCCTTGTCCTTCCGTGGGCTGATGGGTGGGTGTGTGCGTGGTACCTTCTGAACACTTATACATTTTCGCCAGTCTTTAAGCCAGCGTTATAAAGTGACGTTGCACCATGCCTATTAAAATTTTCCAAAAGTAAGTTTTACAAAATCACCATTATTTTTGTGGTTAGCTACGCTGCAGATTGCAATATAAACACTTCATGTTTATATTGGTAAGAAACCTAATAAATATGTGATGCAATCAAGCTACATGAGTCGTTTGTCGACCCTTAAAGGGAATGTACATCATTGGCTTTTGCTGTAATTTACAGAAATGAACTATTTGAGGGGTTAGTATATTGTTACACTGACAAGTTTGAAGTTTTGTGTTCGAAAATGCTGCAAAAACCAAGAAAAACAAAAATGTTCAAGTAGTCTGGTTCCTTGACTCCACTAAAGATAAAATGCATCAATTTATAGATGCCGGAAAATTGTAAGGTAAGGAAACCAGTCTAGCTGGCCTGGCACCCGTTCATGAACATGTAACCAATAGCAAACAAAATTTGGACTGAAAAAAAGGTAAATTTGGAGCAGTAGTTGAAAAATAGTTAGGTTTTTCCAACGGTGGTCGGCCGACCACTGTTGGAAATTTATACAAAATATCACTTTTATTGAAAATGACTTCACACCAGGTGCCATAATTTTACAGGATGCTTCAGACTTTCATTTACCAACATCCTAGTAAGCTATTTCTTAAAAATTTGGTAGTTTTGTTTTCCAATGTTTGCAAATGTTGTATATTCCCTATAACCAAAAAAAATTATTACGGATTTGAAAAGAGCACAATCTCAGCATTACTGCTGTGAAAACCGCATGCTGAGACCATCTTTAGTTCAAAAATAATGGAAGTTGGAACACCAAGAGATGTGATGAAGTGATGTGATGAAGTGGCCATATTTTGGACTGTATCTCCACATACAAATTCCCGACAAACGACTCATTTAGCTTGATCGCATCACATATATCAAACCATTTCCAAACCTTTGATATGATACATGAATCATTGACATAAAACAGCCTTCATTTGAACAGTCATGTGAGGTTTTCCATCAACTGAGCTATCCAGCCCTACATTGGCAGTCTTCCAATTTTCAATGACTTAAATTGTTCATGAGAGGCTAGTCCAAAGCCATATTAAACCTGTATGAGTCATGTGTCCAGGGATCACTCCAAAATAACAGTGCTATAGTAACATATGTGACCCTTATAGGAACCGGGCCCTACACTACACGATCGCCAAAAAGAGGATGAGTAGGCTATGCTTCTTTCTAAAGCAAAAATAAACTACAAACAAAGCCTATAGGTGAAAATCAAAATTTGACAGAGTTCTACATACATGTTCGGGTACATGTTCTAAGTGTGGCCTTTAAGGCCTAGTCCAGTAAATTGGCCACATTAATTTAATGGGGCTTACCAGCACTGTCCTGCAGAGAGACAGTCATGAACAATGATGAAAATGAAATTGGGCCCAGTTCACTTGTTCATCATGTTCTTGTACAGTCAAATTAAACCCAGCATCCGCGACCCTCCATAGTTTGTGAAGGTCTAAGTATTTATATAGTAAATTTCTACAAATACGAGAAAGAAGCTCACCGTACCGTATATCGTCTCAGTCGGCACAACCGGCACACTAGTAACATATGTGACCGGCTCCACAAAAAGGGTATTATGTTGCAAAAAAAGTGAAATTGAGTTATATACATAGTTGGAAAGCCAACAACATAAGCTTTGATTTGGTATATAATAGAGCTCCATAGCCCCTCCTGTTCTGGAGATATGACGTATTTACATTTTAATTACTTCCTTGGAGTTCAAATTACACAACTGAGAAAACAGGCTTTAAAAAAAGCTGGCTCTGTAGTAGAACAATAGAACAACGCACCCAAAATAATCATATTTTCCACTTTATTCATCAAAATCAACATTTCCAAGAATGAATCCTGAAAGTGTAGGTATTAAAGATGTCATTCATGATAAAAAATGAAAATCTCATTTTCAAGAAATTTTCATCCTCTCAACGTTGAGTGGGCGACTTAATACCCTTTTTTTTGTGGAGCCCGTCACATATTGCTGCATTGGAATCGTATGATAACCAGGGATTATTTCAGATAGCATAACGGTGTTTTATTTTAATGGATGCTGAAACCACAAAGAGAAACTGACTGCTGAGGTTCCCCACTGTAATATCAATTTAATTAGAGAGTATATGCTCAGGGTTTGACCTTAACTGTTTTGTTCTCTAGCCAGCCGGGCTACTGAAACGGACTCTTAACTAGCCCGGGGGCATTTTCACTAGCCCACATTTTTTTTCTTATCTCAAATACAAAATAGCGTTTTTTCAGGCTCAATTCTAAGGCAATTTTGTCAGTATTTTTGATTAACAGTTCTAATAATTTAACCCTTTAAAACAGTTGATAAAATTAGACACAAAGTGATGGGGTTTTCTTTCTGAATTTAATGATTTCTTTCTTTCTGTACGTTCATCTTTGCCGTATCCCAATAATTTTTCACTCGCCATCCGGCTGCAGCCGGGCCAGTTAAGGAATAGTTTGACTAGCCCGCCGCTGTTTTGACTTGAATCCTGGGACAAGTATTTTCAACAAACATAACATAAACTATATTAAAAATATTAAAATATGGCAACCATTGCAGTGAAAGATGGTCTAGAAATGACAGTAGCTATATTTAAAATTACAAATGGGTATTTGCACAGGGCAGAACGGAGTGTACATCTCTGCGCTTGGCTGCAGGTTCATTCTTGCCATAGCCCCAGGTGTTTCATAGATCACGATTTTCAATTACTAAAAAATTGAAAGTGAGATCATTAGAAGTGTAATCTGAACCCGGCCAGATTAGCCTAGTTGATGGTTAAGTATACAGCTGTCATTGTGGTTATATGCCTGTGAGGGGGACCATATGGTAGGCTTGAAGGGTTCAGGTTGATTTGCTGACGTTATATACAACCATACATCTGAAATACGAAGCCCACTTGCTATATCCAATACTAATTGGTATGGTTTAGGATAAATATGACCAGCGTTAATGTCTTTGGTGTTTGCTGTCCGTTAATCTGCAGTCTGATGTTTTTTGTTTTGTTGTTTTTTTTTGAGTCAGGATCACTTCATTAAATACTTACTTGAAAACCGCAAAACTCACCACAGCTTAAAAGAAATAAACGTTCTGTAAAGAAACAATTAAAAGGTCATCTTTTTCAGGGATGATGTTAAGTTGCTTTTGAGATGCTATGAGTGGATAGTATTGAGACAAGTATTGAGATCTATGTTACGCATGGGCGTCGCCAGGAATTTTTCTAGAGGGGGGCAACAAATTTTTTTGCCAAAAAAGGCTTGTATTTCTCAACACATTCTCAATTTATCAGTTTTAGAGGGGGGCAGGGACATCCCCCCCCCCCCCCCCAACTCATTAAATTTACACCACTTTGTCTTCGCGCCTCTTTTTCTTTTTTTTTTCTTTTTTTTTTTTTTTTCTTTTTTTTTTTTTTTTTGCTTTTCCAGGGGGGGGGGGCAAGTGCCCCCCCTTGCGGGGGGCAAGGGGTGGCACTTGATGTTACGTGACCCCTCGCGACGCCCATGATGTTACGTGCAGGCTAACCTTCTTTGCAGGAAACAAATTATCACGTGAGGAATAAAAGCCATTCCCTTTCTGATATAGGCTTTTGTTTCTTGATCGGATATTAATTTCTTGAAAGCATTGCATTTAGTTATAATTTAAGAAGGTGATCATTACAAATTGGATGTATGCCGTTAATTTTTTTCCCTGTTTGGATTTGCAGTCTTCCATGGAAAAAAGTGTTTAAGCATTGTTTCTCTCATCGTGGATTATTATTTCCTGAGATGTCAAATAAGTCAAAACCAAAAACCTCAAATATTTCACAGCAAATTAAAATGGAAAAAAAAAGAAAAGAAATATAAAATATTTCAATCAATCTTTAATTTAAGAGCGTGGTTTGTTGTATTCTCAGTGCTCTGTAGTTCAAGGAACTAATTCATACTTCATCAAGTCCAACGGCTTTCATTACAACTCTTTACCAAACGTCTGGAATATTGATTGATAAATCTCAAGTTCCAGAGAGAATAAATAGAAGCGCAGCTTGAGTGCCGGGTCTGACGTAGCGGAAAAGGCTGATGAAGGTTAAAGAGAAGATGCCTTAGTCTCCTGTTTCACATTTCAATATATGGACCTTGTAATTAGCATTCTCGAGTTACTGTATTGATTGGAGGACTGATTTGTTCTGGTATGGAGAGTACTGAGCGTTGACAGCTTGGAAATTTGTGGTTTGGGGAAATGATACTTGGCAAGTAGACTAATCTGAATGCCAGAACCAGCTCAAGTTGTGGATCCATACAAGTTGGAATGTGTAGTCACAAATGGAAGAACCGGTCAGCGTGATGGCTTGAATGTATTTTGTTCTGTTGAAACAAACTTTAGGAGCCCATAAAATGTATGACAGGGGTCTTAACCACATGTAATACAACATTTGACCTGTAGTTCTTCATAATGATGTACATTGTATATCACTGATTATGTATGCTATAATTCGTCACCAGTTTCACAAAGGGACGGGCATGTGGATTTTGAAGAAAAAACGTTTTTGAAATAATCGCAAGAGAAGTTTCTCCGTTTTTAAAACAGCAAAAACTACTTCTTTGCAACAACTTTATTTAATAAGGAAACCTTGACGTAATTCTTTGATAGGTAAACTTTAATTTGAACCTAGTAATTATAATTAATACAGTGGTTAATTGGCCAAAATTAATTAGTAAAGATGCCCGTCCCTTCGTGAAAATGAAAATCCAACTGTTCCACATTTACGCCCTTCTTGTTTAATGTGCTTTTCCATAGGAAAGGGCGCGCGTGTTTGATTACGCGCGCGCAGCTGAGAATGTAACAAAGGTGCCGGTCCCTTCATGAAAATGAAAATCTCCGTTGACCTACTTTTACCACCTTTCAGTGCAATACATTTTGTATGTGTTCAAGGGACATGCATGTTCGCATCTCTTCGTGAAATCGCAAAATGCAACTATCGAGATGCCTGCCCCTGACGTCATTAATGTTATTCAGGAATTAATGATGTTTTGCTTACACAAACATGTCAGAAGGTTAAGTACTGTACCATGTTTTAAAGCAAAATAGTTTTAAAAAACTCAAAATCGAAAAAAATTGTCAATTTGGACATGCCCGTCCCTTCCTGAAACTGGTGATGAATTTTGTGTCTTGAAACTTGTACCAGTCTGGTCAATGTAAAACCTCTCTCCCTCCCTATTGCCCCATAAATCCTGAAACCTCAAACCAAGTTGGTAAATAGTAAGGGGAGGAAGTAGATCTAAACTGTGTTGAATTACTGAATAAATGCCACTGTAGCAACCAAAAAAGTGGTGTTCATTTATGGGTAGCACAGGAGCTGGGTACCCTATTGAAGTAAAAACGGGTACCTGTAAAAGAAACCCAACCCAACAAAAATTCAATAATAATAATAATAATAATAAAACAATTTATAGCCCGCATTTTCGCAAGTATCAATGCGCGACTAAGGACAACTCCAGAAGACAAGTTACAGATTATATGGAGAGAACAGATCAGTTTTCAATCTGCCCTTAAAGTTGTCAAGAGAACTGATGTTGCGGATGTTGTGTGACAAGGAATTACAACACCGGGGACCAGACACTGAGAAGGCCCTGTCCCCTGCCTTTTTGAATGGGCGTGGAACTCTAAGGTTGTTACTGGAGCGGAGGCCACTACGGCTGGGTGCATTAAGGTTGAGTGATCCCATTATGTCCTGCGGCATTGTGTTATGAAGTGCTTTGTGCATGAAAACTGCTGTTTTGAAGTTAATGCGTTGTCTAACTGGTAACCAATGTACAGTAATTTGTCTGAAGGGCTTCATAGTTTCACAGTGTAAACTTCAACTTTCAAGAGTATAATCTGTCTCTGTCGCGTTGACATGCACATCAACATGAAATATGTTTTGGCTTTCTCGTAGGCTTTTTTTTTTTAAATTCCCCACAAATGGCATGTAATAGTTTTCTTTTTAATGTCTTGGAAGTAACTAAGTAATTGTAAAGTTGGTTACGGGCACCCGATCCCATAATCTGGAACCAGTTCCTGACATTAACGGTTGGGTACTGGACTGTTAATCAAATACACACCCCTCATCAAATACATGAGAGGCTGAGAATCGAAACTGTACTTTGTATTTTCCAGAGTTGTAATGACTCGAGTCAATGACTCGACTCGAGTCCGACTCGAGTCACAATTTTTGGTGACTCGACTCGACTCGAGTCCTTAAGGGTAAATGACTCGAATTGACTTGAGTCACTGCGAGCAAATGACTCGACTCGACTCGAGTCCCTCATCAGAAGATTCGACTCGACTCGAGCAAAGGCTAATAAGACTCGAGTCCCAAAAATAAAAGCGCAACTTTGCGAAAAGTATTTGCAATGATCGACTTATAGTGCAAAATTTATGCTCACGTTACTTTGCGAATAGCAGTCATGTACAAATATAAAGCTTTTGGATTCGAACGCTGGCTAAACTAATGGCCTCCTTTTATAAATTTTGGTATATAGTGTTCAAATAATCGTGACTTGAATTGACTCGAGCTAAATATTTGACTCGACTCGACTCGACTCGACTCGACCTTTTGACCTAATGACTCAACTCGACTCGAGTCACTTCTTTAAAATGACTCGACTCGACTCGAGTCACTTCTTTAAAATGACTCGACTCGACTCGAGTCACAAAAATCAGTGACTCGTTACAACTCTGGTATTTTCACCCAATGAACATCTCAATATGGACCTTCTTTCTGGTACTGATACAAATGCAGCCTAACGTAGACGCAGGACCAAACAGGTCCAAAGCGTAGTATTAAAAAAGTAATATGTTTTAACTTACCGTAGGTTCATCGATCTGGCAGCAAATACATGATGTATGGAAGTGTGTGTTCATGCTCATGTTGACTCAAGTCAAGGCATGTGGTCATGATGGGTTTCAAGATCTCAAGCCAGTCATTGTCAGCCATTGGACTGTGATCACAGGTATGGGATTTCTTTTTTGCATGGACTCTAAAAATCCCCCTGTATGGCTCTTGTATTTTAAGTTAGCTGCATCATGCCCTTGATTTGTCCTAAGTACATTGATAATGATAATTTGACCAATGAGGGTACAGAATTATGCCATTTGTAGGAAAGTTAGGTACTTATACCAGTCTGGTTGCTTTTGTTGGTTATTCCCATTTTCAGAATGAGTAAACTTTGCAGTCTAAAGATCAGGATTGTGAAATCTCAGCTTTAAAGCTGATTTCCGCTTTTTTGTGTGTTGGATTTCACCCTTTTTTCAGCTTTTTCCCTCACTAATGCTGTGTACAAAAGTATAGGAGATTTCCAAAGTTCAGCTTTTTTACACCTTTTTCAGCTGTTTTCAGCTTTTTTATCAGTGGTCACTCACACCCCTGAAAGACGGCTAATAACTTTTGACTTTGAAAGTTTAATCTGTTGTATCACCTGTCATTACTATGGTTTGGTATCAAAATATATGCGTGTAAATCATTTATACGTGTAAATCATGAGCTGTCAAAAAAATGGAAATTCTCATGAGACCACAAAGTTATTTTTCTCAGATTTTATTTTTATAATTGCTTGACATGTCAGTAAATTCAATCTTTTTCACAGGAATATGTGAAGAAAGTGATTCTTTGTATTAGTCAATTCTATTTGTAGAACTGACTTTTGGTCTATTTTTGTATAATGTGAAGATACTGCTTTTTGTTTCTTGGTTTTTATTTGTGGTTTTGTTTTTCATTGTTTGAACGCTAAACGCCGATTGAGGTTGTGAGTGATTTTCTCTTTGCTGTAGTATTTTGTAAATGTACTTGGATCATACCCCACATACATGTTCTTACTGTAAATGAGATTTTATTTCAATTTGAGGACAAGGAAATATACATTGTGTATTTAGCAAGTATTTTTATTTTATTTCTTTCTGGTAATGAAACCAAGGATTCCTCAAAAGTACCCTAAGAACTGTAGCTCGAAAGCCTGAAGAAACCTGTAGAGAGAAGACAGTTAGAAGAAATTACAGTTTTAGAGGTGGGTGGAAAAGCCCAGAGGAATATTCTGAGAAAAACCCACGGAATCAGGTAGGGACTGGAAACCCAATCCACATATTGGCCCGGGCAGGATTCGAACCCAGGTCACAGCGGTGGAAGGCGAGGAAAGTACCGCTACGCCAACCTGACTCCCCTTAAATGTATGTTTGCTTCCTGCAGCGGCTATCATCCATATAGTCAAATCACCCATGGCCTTATCTACCAGAATAGTTTCTCTCAACTTCCTGGCCAGTTTATTGGATAAGATGCATGGTTGGCAAAGTAGTCAGGTAAGGAGGAAGGAAGATGTGCAGTCTTGCCAAGGTGATGTGGAGGAGGATGGAGATGACGTGATGAATGCAGTACATGTCCTTGATGAGGAGAGAACAACTGCTGGTAATTAGCCTTTGTGAATCTCTCTGTTTTTGGTCTTGCACATTGTTGGTAGATAGATATTCCTACTTGTTTTCTGTTGCTTTTCATTTTCATTCATATTACTGTCATTAAAGGGCCTGTCACATTATATGCGCTCTCATAGGAGACCTTACGGGGACCAAAGATATTTAATAAATTTTAACAATCGCAGCGAGGACGCAAGAAAATGACAATTTTCTGTCTCAAGTGTCGAGAAAGTAGCTCAAACTATGCTCATACTGTGCTCTTCCTGCGCTTACGATGTGCTCAACTCGCTCTCTATGCGCCCCTGTCAAGCCCAATTACTCGATCTAGTCGCTGCCGCTGCGCTGTCACTGCGCCCACACTACGCTCTGCTCGCTGTTGATACGTCCTAGTAGCTCGTGTCGTGCTCTCTATTCGACCAAAATACACTCAGCGGCTCACGTGACGTCACTTGCGCCGTATAAATACCACGACAAAATGGTCGATCCGCAGTCCAGTTTCAAAATTATTCTACAAGTTCATCGCAGTCGAGTTACTTTCTCATGGAGACTACATCGACTGCCTTGCGCCTAGGCTGCCTGAATGCCACTTCAATGTCGCACGATTCACGCTCGCACAGCACCCGAGTTGCATCATCACGGTGCCCTGGCCAGAGCGCAGAGGTGTTGTGATTGTTTCGAGCATGTTCAAAGACGTTGGCGCACATCGGAGACCATTAAGACCCGCTGGCGCCCATCTGGCGACCTATGTAGTTGTCGCTGTGATCTAGTAGTTGTTGTTGCGCCCCAGCTATGTTTCAAGGACGCAGTGAGAGCACATATAAGATCGCGGACAGTGTGACAGGGCCTTTAAATAATGTTTTCCTTCCTTACAATTACACTAAAAAGTTGTAAAATACTGATGCTGTTGGTGGAATGGCAACTAATGTTGAAAAGGTTGTACTGCCCTTTCTGTGTCGATCATTACATTCTTAAAAAATATTAGCAGTTTTTGCATGAAGGTGCCACAAATTAGAAAGAATTTATCTTAAAATGTTCACTCATTGCCTTGATTTTCTTTGTTGAATACACACTTTGACAAATGATGTCATCAGATGCTATGTAGTTCGAAATGTAGAAGTTATCTTTTGGCAGTGAGGATGATCAATCTGAACACTTCACATCTTTGCGTGCATGATCCTAATTTTTCACTTCCCAGACCTGTCCCCTGACCAATACAAAAAGTAGATACTTACTAAATAAGAAAATTGAATGATTAGTTGAAAATCATTCCTGTCATCAGTTATGCTGTTAATCTTTCTTATCATGATATTGCAGTATATTTCCTGTATGGTTTAATAGGGCAATTTTATATGAACTGTATGTAAGCTTCATTGCAAAACAACTCTCTGCTCATTATTGTTATGTGTGAGTAGTTCAGAAACTAGTATTGCACAAGTACTTTATTTTAGCAGTGGCTGTTTATTACACCTTCACTTAAACCAGTATGTGTAGTCTTTTTTGTTAACTTAAAATGCAGAACTCATTTGCATGTGGGCAAGGGCAATTCCACACAAATGGGCCAATTAGATAACTTTATGGATGTTGTATATAAAGAGTAAAAGATGAGCTAGTGTTTTCTTTAGTTTTTTCCTATACCTTGCTAAGTTGAAAGTGATGACTAGGACAAGACAAAACAAAAGATGATATCTTTTCATTTGAGAAAATAACAGGCATCTTTACTGTGTGATATGTATGTAACGTGGACAGACACACTGCAAGGAAAAGGGTGCTTCAAATTTATGATGTGATTAGGGTTACGTACAAACAGGGACAGACATTTTGTGACAAATGTCCAGTCTGATTAAAAAATATCAAATAATTCTTCACAGTGACTCTGATTTTTCTAGGTTTTGACTGAATAGCATTCCTCCAGGGTACATCTTCTTAAATAAGTCAACATTAGGGGATCATTAAATTTTATGCTTCATACTTTGTGACTTTATATAAAATGTCTGTCCTTTGTTACGTACGTAACACTTTTTAAAACAATATCCACTATATTTTCTAAAATACAAAACCAGTTATATCATTTGCAGGTGAGGATATTTATTCAAAGCTTGCAATGTTTACAGCAAAAATTGAGAGACCAAAATAGCAGTTTTATCATCAAAACTTAAAGGTCTTCTCAAATGTCACACTTTTGGGCCCATTAGTGTGGAATTGCCCATATGTAAGAACAATTGATGAGTTCCAAATACTGCATCCTCCCTTTAAGAAGGCCACATACTTTGTCTTCAGGTTGTGCAGCATCAAGTGGCAGTTGGCTTTGTAGTGTTCTTCTTCAAGCCTTTGATGGGACACTCTCAAGATCTTTAGACAACCCTGGATCTGCTTCAGAGAAGACTAGTATCATCTGTGCTCTAAGAAACCTGTTGGCCATCAGTCACCAGGCCAAGAAAACAGCTGTCAAATGTAACAATTTGCTTAGTTTGTACAACGCACATATTAGAACCTTTACCGGGCACAAAATAAATGGTTATGTTGCCCTCACATGAAAAAATATCACGAGGGTCGGTCAGTTGGGGATTTTTTTGGGGGGGGGGGGTTATAGATGGTACGAATTGACAAATAGCTTGACGAAGAAATGGAAAGAATGGCCTCTTATTGGCTGCCACTTTCCCTTCATGTACTGCACGAACTAACTATCATGTGTACATTTTTTTTTGGCTGAGATTTTTTCACTATTATCACAGAAATAAAATGTTAATTTGGTTTAGGCCAAAAAAAAAAGTTTCCGGTTTCTGGTATGAAGCTCGCCCAAAAAGTGGTGCGGCAATGCGGCTTTTTTGTTTTTTTTACCATTTTTTTTTTGCTTCAAATGACGGCTGATGACTGCAAATGGTGCCCGACTAAACTTAGTGCAAATATATGGGAGTCCAGAGAGGCCACATAAAGCTTATTCTCGATCGTAACCCCATCTAAAAACACGTTAAAATTGTGCAGCAGCAGGATTCCAGTCAAACCAGTGAGTTTGGTGGTTTTGAGACATCATCTTTTATTGAAAAAAAAATTTCATCTTGCCGACGCACATGGCTACGGTGACGCGCGCGCATACCAGAAATTTGAGACTTTTTTTTTTGGCCTTATTGAATTGGATATCTCTTTCAAGCGATGAACATAAAATCTGTGAAGAATCAATGGATGTGGTGGTGTTACATAAATATTGACTACTTTTACTTGGGGTACAGTTCTGTTATTAGATGATCCAAGGTGTGCTATTTTCCCGAGATGAAGCCAAGGGGAATAGTAGGCCCTGTGAATCTCCCTGGGAGCATTTTTTTTTTTACTTTCGCTTACTTTACATGTTCTGTTAAATTGATCCTTGGTGTAGAATAAGCCCCATTCGGTATCTCCATGAAGTAGTTAAGGGCCCAATTTCACGGCGCTGTTAAGCATAAAAAAATTGCTCAGCACAAAAAAAGTCTGGCTTATAAAAGCAGGTTACCAGCCAAAACTCCATGTGATTTTCATGCTAAGCAAACAACAGCTGAATACTAATCACGAGCAATGTACATCATGTTGATTTTTGGCTGGTAACCTGCTTTTATAAGCCAGACTTTTTTTGTGCGAAGTAAATTTTTGTGCTTAGCAGCGCCGTGAAATTGGGCCCTGGTCCATGGTCATTCGGAATAAAACCGCTGACATGATGATACGGGATGTTACACGGATGCCCATTCTGGTTGTAATTAGCGCACAAGCGTTGTTTATATGCATTTGATTATCCCGAATGACCTTTGACCCATATCATTGTGCGTATGCGCAGTTGAAATACCCAACTGGCTTATTATCAAAGATTTGTGCTCGGGTTTGTAGCTTCAAACAGATAGAAATCATACTGACTCTCTTTTCAGTAAATGAAATTTTTAAACAACATTCAGGGGATAGGTCGACAAAATTTCTGAACAAGAAGAACGATATAAAAAAAAGAGTCTCTGCAACTGAAAAGGGATCTAGATGGGATTGTCAGCCTTTAAAGGGACACTAGGTCCTTGAACAGCCCAATTGGGATACAAAACGCGCTTTGAACAAGATGATGTTAATCGGAAATAACATTTAAAAGTAGGATATAAACATCCACACAACTATCCTCTCACAACTGGGCATTTTTGTGTTATTCCTGTATTACGCGTGCGAGAACGAATTTCGGTGTCCACTTTTGTGACCCCATAAATTCGAGCTGTTTGGATGCTAGTTGTGATTTCATTCGTAAAGTGTTCGCCTTTTGCGGACATTGAAGAAACCACTTTTTTGGCATTGGTGATTGGTCACCGCTGTTCCCGAGACACATAACGTGTATATCGTACACTGAGAACGACACAAAAAACGTATTGGTAGTCCGTCATGTCCAATGTAAACAAGTGGGATTTTTGTTGTCTTTTCTTGGGAATGGTAAGACATTAGGTTGGTTTCCTTTCAACCAGATGTTTGAAATGGGCTAAGTAAACAATCCAAAAACATGAAATTTTCGGGGATTTTAGGACCTAGTGCCCCTTTAAGCATTAGTCCATTAAAAGTAACCAGTCTTCAGTACTTGAAACATTTGTTCAAGGATGTTTCTGTGAAAATTACATGATTTAACATTTCACCACTCTTTCAAAAGCAACATTTTCAAACTGCTCCTTTATTGTTTTTTCTTATATAGACTACAAAATAGGGATTCCATTTTCATTGTATTGTTTTTCTCATCCAGCTGGTTTGATTGAATCGATCTTGGACAGTATGCAACACACACATGCCAAACTCAATGTTGAATGCCTACAGCACCCAAGGCCAGTATCCAAGAATAAGGTAACAAAATGAAATAGATCTGATCATTCTTGTGTTTGGGCTTCTTGGGGGTACACAAATATTGAGCCAGTGTGAATGTTCACATTGTTTGGCACCCCCTTTCACCCTAGGATTGCTCTAGGGTTGCAGACCAGTAAATTGGTCCGAAATGGCCTACGCCGGCCAAATCACAATTTGCACGCCATCAAAATCTTCAGTATTTGAGCATGCTGTGGGCCATGAACTTGAGGGTTTGTAACAAATATGGGTGGAAGCCGTGCACAGGACTGTGACACAGGACTGTGAGCTTGTAGTTCCGTTCAATTTGGATGAAATCGGGACCCTAAAAGCGCTCTATTTTGCAATGGAGTGCAGGCATCGTTTTTCAAAATGGCGATGGGCTTCAGGACTATTTTCAGGGGTGATCATCTTCAGATGGAAATTTCTCCTAAAAGTCATCATTGACCCCCCAAAAACAAAATTGAAAAGAAAATGAAAGATGATGAAATAAGCTTTAATTTGATGTGTGTCTCGAACACCTTGGAGAGTTGTGAGTATTTTTCCCGAATTTCTGAAGTGGGAGCATTTACCATTGGGGTCTATGGAAGTTTATTTACTGGTCTGCAACCATAACCTTATAAGTAACCCTGGGCCTGGATGAACCTGTTTTGCACCACACAAGAGTGAAACAGTGCAGGATTGGTTGAAACAAGACAGGCGAATATGGGATGAAATCTCAAAAGAGTGTCACTCAACAAAAATTCACAACCAAAGCGTTTTTGTATGTTTGCATGGTTTGAATGAGACAACTGACGAAATCATCTGGGGGTGTTTTTCCTGCAGGAAGAGCCTTTGTTGTTGCAACTCGTTAGCCAAATGGGCCTGCTGCAGAACTGTTTATGTGGCAGCCAGGAAGCCAAGGTAATGTTGCAAAGATTATAGTACAAGGACCCTTTCTGGGAAGCATTAAAGTGTAATCAATTTGGCATTTTTAAGGACTTGGGTTTTTTAATGTGACTTCTGGCGTGTTATTTTTTTTCTTTGTGGAACATTTTCTGTTTGCTTCCAACTGGTTATTTCATCATTGTACATGTAGGTGTAATTGGGTTGTAGTCTTTATAATTGTGAGTGAGTGTTTAAAAGATGAATTTATATATAAAAATAGTATTTTATGATGGAATTTTGCGTCGGGGTGATATAAATCAAATTAGGTTTTGCCCTTCCCCGACGTTTAAACACTGTATACTCAGTGTGTTACCTCCCGAGTGAAAGTTGGAAAAATCACTCGGGTGGGACTCGAACCCATGACCTCCTGCCTTCTCAACCGATCCCCTTAGCTCAGTGGTCTAGTGGTAAGACGTCTGCACTAGAAAGCAGGAGGTCGTGGGTTCGAGTCCCACCCGAGTGATTTTTTCCAACTTTCCCTCGGGAGGTAACACACTGAGTATACAGTGTTTAAACGTCGGTGAAGGGCAAAACCTAATTTGATTAGAATAGTAAAGGTCAGTTACTTAATATTGTCTGATTATAGATGACCAGCCTTGAAGCAGGGCTCACATCTGTTCTTCTCAAACTGTGGTCATGGTGTCTCCTTGACAACAGGCTACTAGCAGCAACCCTGTCCCTCTTGGCAGGGTATACAGCCAACTGCACCCCAGGTACTAGTTGTTTTCTTGGCTTCCAGATTCCTGGTCTGTGTTTTTTTACTCCCTGTATTTTTCTCTGATAACACTTGTTTATGGCTTTTATTACATAGGCTTTAAATAATTTCATAGGTCAATATTTAATCATTCAATTTGGCCGTGGACAATATATCTAGAGCATTTTCTGCTTTGTATCTTATTTCCTCATCAAAAACGAACCAGCTGAATTGAAGTTATTGTTAGTCTATTTTATACAACACCTGAATAAATCCCTGTCATCTGATTGGTGGATCGTTGATCACGTCATTAAATTATTCGTACCAACGCGCATGGCGCGCAGCGCACAGTGCAATGGAAGTTCTATTGCACTGTGAATAGAACTTCCATTGCACGGTGTCACTGCTGCTGGTGGTGGCGCTTTTTTAAATCGAGCTAAATTGAATATGATTGTTCTCAACCTGTTGAACAGTTTACAATATTAATATAAATATGATGAACTTGTCGAACTTTTAAACAGTTTTTAACCTGAATAAATTGGCTATTAAAAGTCAACCAATCAGATGACAAGGATTTATTCAGGTGTTATATAAAACAAATAATGAATGTTCCACGTTCGTGCAATGGAAAGAAGAATTTCATTCAGTGACAGATGAAATGTTCCATTCCACTCGGATTTGCCCCGTGGAATGGAACATTTCATCTGTCACCTTATGAAATTATTCTTACCATTGCACTCACAAACTTTCATTATTTGTATAATAGCCAAGCAACAATATGTTTGTATTTGTCATTTTATGCAGCCTGCTCCTCGCTAGCCCAGTGTCTCCCCGGCCAAACAGGATCATCGTTACTCCATCGCATCATCCAACAAATTGACAGGGAGAAGAAACAGGTCATTGGTCAAATCAAAGATCATCAGCAACAGACTAAAGGACTATTTATAGTCCTGAGTAATGTCATCGTAGCAGCTGAATGCAGAAATGCTCTCTGGAAGGTAAAGAGAAAGGTTTTCTTTCTCCACACAACAAGTAAACCTTCATGCTGTATACATTCAATTCAAATCTTAACAATATGACAGTCATAAATGTGACATTATTCTGTAAAAAAAAACTCTTCTGAGCAGCTTGTAAAAAAAATATAGGTTTATAATATGTGATGGGATCAAGCTACATGAGTCATTTGTCTGGAATTTTCATTTGGAGATACAGGCCAAAATAGGGCAACTTCATCACATCACTTCATCACATCTCTTGGTGTTCCAACTTCTATCATTTTTGAACTAAAGATGGTATCAGCATGCGGTTTTCACAGCAGTAATGCTGAGATTGTGCTCTTTTCAATTCTGTAATAACGAAAATTTGACCGGGGTCGACAAACGACTCATTTAGCAGCTTGATCACATCACATTTGCTGTTAAAATATAGATCTTCCCCTTGATACTGTCAAGTTATTATTTGAAGACAGACTTTCCTTGGTTTAATTACGTCAATTTTGAAGTTAGTGACGTCACAGAGGTGACAACAGACAATTGCCTGTGAGGGTTTTGGAGTATGCATTTCTTGACCTTTGCACTTGGTTGCATCTCAGATGGACCTCTGACCTACTAAAGTTTTGTTTTCATGAACCAGACACATTGCCTTGCGCATTTCCATGGGCTTTGCAGATGATTCTGTTGAGTGAATACAAATGAATGCAATGCATTGTGAACAATCAGTGAACAGTGTGCAATTAAGAAAAGACGTGGGAATAGCTCAAAGAGGAATGTTTACAGTGAGTCACAGTAAATGACAAAGATTGGAACAAGTCCTGCACCCAAATTCACGAAGCGCTGTGACGCATCGCAACTCGAGTTACGACGTGTAACACGTCGCAAATTACGACGTGTAACACGTCGCAACTCGCGATGCATCGTATAATCCATTTCACGAAAGTTGGGATGTGTTGAACGCTTTGTAAGTTCCTTGACAACGGCTTAAAACACGTCGCAAGCTACGACGTGTTTAGTGGTCGTCACAAAATAAGAAGAGTCCGTTTTTAGCCAGTTTTGTGCCATAAACATTACATAAACGAGATTATAATACCGAGGCAATGTGTGTAAAGTTGTAAATAGGAAATTCATTGAATTATTATGAATTAGCCTGGAATATTGCTGTTGAAATTTCAAAGTAGCTACACAGTCCACTGAGAGCTTGTTTTCCTTTAAAATTGCATCGCATGGCTGCCATTTTGTCCTACGTTTTAACAAATTTTGAGCGGAGATCCGACAACTCTTTGTTGAATACCAGAGGACTATTTACTGTACACTGACTTAATACATAAAACAGTCACCGAGTTGTGCTATAAATACACATACGACACGTGGCACTTACGACGTGTCTTGAGAAATGGATCGCAGGACGCGTCGCAGCTGCGACGCATCGTAGGGATACGATGCGTTGCAGCGCTGCGATGCATCGTAAGTTATGATGAGTTTTGTGAAATCGGCTGCTGTAACACCAGCTTTATCTTGACATGTTGCTTGCCCATTGATTGCTATCATTAGTTCTATACCTTTGTAAACATTTAAAACCACTATTTTTGGTTTCAGTTACTTTTAAAAATTGAATATTTCTTTTTTCACAGAGTGGATTCCTGCAGACATTTTCCCAAGTGTGCCCAGAGAGGAAGCAGACATCTAGTCGAAGGTCTTTGACTGGAAAGCAGCTGACTGCAGCCCTCTGGCTTCAACTCCTAGCCAACTTGACCTTATCTACAGAGGGTCAACAGATGGTCATGAGAATCCCAGGTACGGATATAAACCTTTGACACCAGGGGAACTTACTGATTGAAAGTGTTTCTGGTTGAAGTGTATTGTTTCCATTCATTTCTTTGGCTTTCCCTCGTCAGCAGATGGCTTTTTTTGCACTAATATTTTGTCACCGATTTCATGAAGGGACGGGCATGTCAAAATTGACAATTTTTTCGATTTCGAGTTTTTTCCCTATTTTGCTTTAAAACATGGTACTTAAAGGGAATGTACATCATTGGCTTTTGCTGTAATTTTCAGAAATGAACTATTTGAGGGGTTAGTATAATAGATCAAATATTGTTACACTGACATGTTTGAAGTTTTGTGTTCGAAAATGCTGGAAAAACCAAGAAAAACAAAAATGTTCAAGTAGTCTGGTTCCTTGACTCCACTAAAGATAAAATGGATCAATTTATAGAAGCCGGAAAATTGTAAGGTAAGGGAACCAGTCTAGCTGGCCTGCACCCGTTCATGAACATGTAACCAATAGCAAACAAAATTTGGACCGAAAAAAGTGTAAATTTGGAGCAGTAGTTGAAAAATAGTTAGGTTTTTCCAACGGTGGTCGGCCGACCACCGTTGGAAATGTATACAAAAATACCATTTTCTTGAAAATGACTTCACATCAGGTGCCATTATTTTACAGGATGCTTTAGACTGTCCTTTACCAACATCCTAGTAAGGTATTTCGTAAAAACTTGGTAGTTTTATTTTTCGATGTTTGCAACTGTTGTATATTCCCTTTAAGCATTCTGACATGTTTCCTTAAGCAAAACATCATTAATTCCTGAATAACATTCATGACGTCAGGGGCAGGCATCTCAATAATTGCATTTTGCCTGCCTGCCCTCGTGAACACGTACAAAACGTATTGCATGGAAAGGCGGTAAAAGTAGGTCAACGAAGATTTTCGTTTTCACGAAGGGACGGACATCTTTGTTACATTCTCAGCTTCGCGCGCGTAATCAAACACACGCACCCTTCCCTATGGAAAAGCACATTAAACAAGAAGGGTGTAAATGTGGAACAGTTGGATTTTCGCTTTCACGAAGGGACAGGCATCTTTACTAATTAATTTTGGCTAATTAACCACTCTATTAATTATAATTACTGGGTTCAAATTAAAGTTTACCTATCAAAGAACTACGTCCGGATTTCCTTTTTGCATAAAGTTGTTGCAAAGTAGTAGTTTTTGCTGTTTTAAAAACGGAGAAACTTCTCTTGCGACTATCTCGAAAACAGTTTTCTTCAAAATCCACATGCCCGTCCCTTCGTGTAACCGGTGAGGATTTATGGAACTAGGGATGTGGTTTGAAATGAGTCAGGTTTCCTTGAAGAAGGTACTCGCTTTTTTTAATTAGTTATAATTCACGGAATAGCAGATGTATATCACTGCATCCTGTTACCTTTTTTACTGGTGTTGTACCAAGTTTAGTTTGAAATTTAGTTGGTCACCCATACCCCTCATGGGCTCAGTTGGGGGGAGGGGGCAGTTGTAAACACACCCACCTGCTGTTTTCCATCCAGCTTAAATGAGCGGCTTCCAAATGTTTCAACTCTTGCCAAAACACTCCAAGCCCAACCTCGTCCCCAGGGTGTCGAGCAGTACGCGCCCACCACTACCTGCTCTCTCACCCTGCTATTGGATCATTTGCATGTGCAAGATTTTTGAACACGTATGCAAATGAGGAATAGTCTGGTGCCTGCATGTACGTTACATTAGCGTATGTTTTTGTATGCGGTGTCTAGGGTAAAAACAGCATCAATTCTTCGCGCCGTGAGTTATGAAAACACAAATGTTTTTGGAAGTTAAAATGTTACAGCTGGTCCGCCAATATGCAGTATCACATTTCAAATTAATATGAGCAAACTGGAAAGAAAAGGAGTATTATTGAGAAGGCGTGGACGTTATAATTACAATGATCGTGAAAACAAGTAATGCACGTTGAAAATAACAACACCAACTACACGATATAAATCCATTATTAGCAAATTGCGGTATCGAATCAGGATACAGGAAGAAAGTTTCCTATCCAGGGCTTACTATTGGAAACGACATTGGAAATAAAGTAAGCACTGGGGACGAGGTTGCTCCAAGCCAGACCTACTCAACCATTAGCCTGCCTCTGCAGATGTACCATTGTATTTTTATACTGTGCATCTACAGTTTGACCATACCTATTGCCAGGGTGTTCTCATTACAAGCTGTCCAACACAGGCCTCTGGGTTTTCCTGTTTCTCTTATAAGTAGAATATTAAGGTCATCCAGGGTTGTGGAATGGGTTTATTATGACCAGTCAAACTTGTTATTAATATCTTCCCCTCTGGTCATACAATAGACCAAACCAGACCTATGTAAACATGTATAAGGTATAAGATTTGAGGCTTTGCATGGTGGAGTATCGGTATTGTTTCGGTTTGCGGTAACACCATGTGGTAATAACTACTGCTTAGAAGATAGTTAGTTCTGAAAAGAACTTGTCCTGCTTATTATCAACTTTTGCTAAGTAGTTTTTGTTCTGATAAAGAACAGTCCTGCTTTAAGTTCTAAAAGAACTTGTCTTTGGTCTCAACGTTTCGACTAGCCTGCTCTAGTCATCGTCAGTCATCAGAACAAAAACTACTTAGCGAAAGTTGATAATATGTTCTTTTCAGAACTAAATATCTTCTTAGCAGTAGTTATTACCACATGGTGTTACCGCAAACCGAAACGATATGTATAAGGTACATGTATGAAGGCAACAAATGAAGCAGGCAAGATGTGTAATAGAATAGAGTGGCAGCTGTCATATTATGGAAGTTGTTGAAAGTGCTCAATACCCGTAGACAGCAGGTTGCTAGCCAATATGCTGCCTATACATGTACAGACATGTTTACGTTACATACCAAGTATGGACGTTCCCTTGGTTTCGTGTAGTTAAAAAAAAACCAGTGAAAAAACTCATTTTTCTCAAGCTGTGAAAACTCTTTCAACCCAAGTTTTTTTCTATGATTCCCTTTAGTGTTTCTCTTCATTCTGCCACAGATAAACCTCACCCAAAAATGCCTCTAAACCTGTTTTCCAGAAATGGGGAAACACTGTGTGGACTCGCCTAAGTCCACACAACGTCCCCCCTTCCTGGTTTATGTGGACCTCTTTTGTTCGGAAGTCCACACAGTGAATGTAATGCCTACCCAGTGTAGTTGGCAATGGCATCTTTAGGTTTTAAGAGGGATGGGGGAAATGAACGTTTGTGAAAAGAAATTTCCCTGTTTTCTTCTAGATTGAGCATTTAAGCATATAAGCTAACAGGCTTCAATGAATATATTCACTGCTTTACTATTAAGCACAAAGAGTATGTGTATGTGTTCGCGCCTCGTGAATTCTAAAATTACGAATCCACACTTTCTTGTGTATTCTCCTTAACTTAACCTTATACAGGTTTCATTTCATAAACCGTGTGAGAAACAGTTCCTATAAAGAGGAAACCTGGAGATGAGTTAATTAATGCTAAACCTGAAATGAGCGGCAAAGGCCTATTTTGAATTCCTTTGCTTACAGTTTTACAAATGCTGGCTTAATAGGGCTCGTTCAATGACGGCCATTTCTGTAGGAGAACTGCAACTACGTATTTTACTCAGTCTAGCACGCATTGTTGAGCAGTGTTGAAAATGTTCCAAACATGCGCGCTTGTTGCTCGAAATGTGGTCGAAGTACGACGCAGCTGATGCGCATTATGCAAGTTGACGCACAAAGTGCCCATGCACGTGGCTGTTCTGTAGGAAATGACGTCATTTGAACGAGACCTATATTGGAATGACCAAACATGCAGCTGGAAGCTCTGGCAAATTGGAATGTTCAGAGGTGCAAATCCAAATGGGCCTTTTGAAATTGCATGATTGAAATATCTATTCACATGGTTTTCAATTTGACTCGCGGTTGATCTGGACATGAAATCACATATGTGCAAAAACGGATGGTTCATCATCAATGTGGCAGCCAAATAGATTAAATTAAACCAGAGTACCTGTTTATTTAAAGGGAAGATACAACATTTGCAAACATCAAAAAACGAAATGATCAAATTATCACGAAATACCTTACTAAATTGTTAGGGATTGACAGTCTAAAGCATCCTGGAAAGTTGTGGCTCCTGGTGTGCTGACATTTTCAAGAAAAACTGTATTTTTCCGCTTTGGAAAAATACTGGCTTTTTTCCAAAACAGCTCCTAATTTTTCATATTTAGTCGTTTTCTTCGCAATAGATTACACACCTGTGAAGGGGTACAAGCCTGCTAGAGTGATTCTTTGACCTTACAATTCCCCAAAGTCTTTACATTTCTCCGTTTATAATCTTAAGTGGGGTCAGGGAACCAGACGTACTACAAGAACATGATTGATTTTCTTGGTTTTTACAGCATATACAAGCCCAAAACGTGAAACAAGTCAGTTTAACAATATTTGCTATAACATTCTAATCCTCCAAATCCATTTATTTCTGAAAATTGCAGCAAAACCAAATGTTGTACATTCCCTTTAAGATATGTGCACTTGCTTTATGATAATAAATAATGGAAAATTGCAATATATTTATCGTTTCAGATGTATTAGAGTTATTGCTTCTTTTGGGTGAATCAGCCAATGATGATGTGTCCAAGCTGGCTACTCTGACCCTACATAATCTCTGCTTCCACAGCGCTAACAAACCAAAACTACTTGCATCAGGTAATTATAAGACTCCCAACATCAAGAAGCAGATGATTTGAGCTTGTATTAGCCTGTAACACTACATGTAGCATGATGTATAGACAAACTGCCCTGAAAATTGCTAAATTATGTCTCTATGATGAATGCGGTACCCTGGTCTCGTTTGCAGGTGTTGGGCCAAGGAAATCAACATGATATGTTGTATTTAGGAAGAAGTCTCAGGGGAAAATATGTAAATATTACGTGGTTGAAGGCTCTACTTTAGAAGGGGCTTATGGTATTGGTATCCTTGAGGAAGACATTTAAATTCAGGCACTTGACTCCGTATAACCTTGATAACAGGAGCAAACTTACATTCATAACATCATCTGTTATTCTTTCTTGAATGTGACTAGTTTACGTTACTATCAAATTCATACAAAAAAGTCATCAAAATCATTTGTAATTTGACACAATTATTGATGTGTTGACTTACTAACGGTTTTGATCTTGCATTCCGTTTCCTCTGTATAAGCAGTGCTTCATTTATACTCTCTCCAGTAGCAGAAATCATCATCATTGCAAAGAGGAATTTATTTATTATGACTTTTGTTGTTCCAAGAACTGCAGCTGATGACAATTTGAGGAAATGCAGAGTTATTGTGGTAGATGACTTAGCATTCATATAGACATATGCGGGAAATCATAAATCCTTGCTTTTTATCTTTATTATTTTTTTTTTTTTTTTTTTTTTTTTATTACTCTTCTCCACTGGCTGATATAAAAAAAATAATTACAAGATATACAGAATCACAAATAAAAAATACAGAGAATTTACAATTTCAATAAATAATTTAAAAAAGTGTTTATGCCAGAATACGTACGGATTAAGCCAGTGAGTGGCAAGATCGAACAGGTGACTAGCACCTCTAGAAAGCCATCCTACCACAGGCAAACCAGATCCTATTAATTAATTATATTTTCTTTTCTTTCCTAAATTTAAAAAAAAAAAAAAAAAAAAAAAAAACATTATAAAAAAACACTGGGGTTTATAAGACTGAGAGAGACAAATTAAGAAGCTGCCTCAAATGACGTTGGAGCTGTCATAAAACATGTCAGAGTTACTTCAGTTTGCAGGCCAAAGGCAGTAAACCATTTCCAATCAAGCTGTTTATAGCCTCGAATTTCCTGCTCTAAAAAAAGGCTCTTCATCCGGACTCTTCTTTGATCAAGAACCTCTGTTTGCTTATCTTTTGGTAGCTAAACAATATCTCTTAGATATGTGTGAGATCTGTCCACAGCCAAGCTAATAATTCTAGTCCTGGGTATGTCTGCTATGCAGGTTTCAATATCGAGGCACATAAATCACAAGCAAAGTAACAACTAAGGCAGTAGGCTGGCAATTTACACGAGCCACTACATGTGCATATTGAGGCAAATATTCATCAGCGAGACATAAACAAGCAGTGAAATCAGAGTAAATGAGTGTGCACAAGAAGATGACTAGTGGCACACCATGAAGCAATGTATCAGCGGGGTGCCTGTAAGACTTAAAAATAAGCTGCTACCTATGCAATTTAAATCATCACTATTATGGTAAAGGTTAAAGGGATTGTACAACATTTGCTTTTGCTGCAATTTTCAGAAATAAATATATTTGAAGGATAAGTATGTCATAGCAAATATTGTTAAAATGACTTGTTTCACGTTTAAGGCTTGTAGATGCTGGAAAAACCGAGAAAACCAATCATGTTCTGGTAGTCTGGTTCCCTGACCCCACTTAAGATGAATCGGAGCAATTTATAGACTTTGGGGAATTGTAAGGTCAGAGAATCAGTCTAGAGGGCTTGTACCCACAGGTGTGTAATCAATTGCAGAGAAAATGCGGAATAACTAATTATGAAAAACTAGGCGCAGTTTTTGAAAAAAAAATCTGTTTTCTCCAACGCTGGTTGGCCGACCAGCGTTGGAGAAATACAATTTTTCTTGAAAATGTCAGCACACCAGGAGCCACGATTTTACAGGATGCTTTAGAGCAGTGTTGGAGCAAAGGCTTTGACCCTCAAGGCCAAGGCTTTGACCCTCAAGGCCAAGGCCAAGGCTTTGACCCTCAAGCCTCGAGGCCAAGGCGAAGGCTTCACCCTCAAGGCCAAGGCCAAGGCCAAGGCCCTGTTTTATGAAATGACCACTGATATAGAACTAATTATAGTCACATTAGTGACACATCATCACGCAAGGGCGGATCCAGAACACAATTGGGGGGAGGGGCAAAGAAATTTTGGTCCCCCCCCCCCAAAAAAAGTGGGTCAAAAAATTACGGCTTGGGCTTCGGGGCCCGCTTAAGGGCCCCGAAAAATGTTTGGATTCGAGATGCTCTGTGGTGCAATTTGAGGCAATTTCTGACCATTTTAACCGATGTTTTTTTGAGGAAAAGATGGTGGTGTACTCATTGCCTGCCTTTATTACGACGTCACATAAACAAAAATGGTTTCGGGGTTTTTTTTTGGGGGGGGGCCATGGCCCCTTTTTGCCCCCCTGGATCCGCCCTTATCATCACGAGTTGCTTGTTACGAAGAACAACATTTCTTTAATTGCAATCAACATGCTCGCATAGGCTTACACCGTGTTATGACTGCACTGTATCTATTAAAGTATAAGTTCAGGTCTTCAATATGGTTTAACTAAACAAAGTAATTATTTACTTCTATATTGACACGCAATTCTTCCAAGTGTAACAAAAGGGGATCCAAGAAACTGGTTTTGGAAATGTTTATTTGCTGGCCCAACATAGTCAGAAATATCAGCATTATCTAAAACAGATACATGCAAATCTTTAGCACTTATCAGGGAGACATATACAACCAATCAGATCTATTCCATAGTTATATGCAATTAAAGTGATCATCTCATTAGCCCCACAAGTGTACGGAATATTGTTGCAGCAAATCTACTACAATGGTAACAACATGTGATGCTATAAAAGTGGAAGTGTGCCCAACACACAAATCTATATGGTGCTTCCCTCCTCCATCGTAATACGATTAAAATGGTAACAGCAAAATTTCGAACAGATTTATCTGGAAAATGCAAAAATCTATGGGCCTTGAAGAGCCTTGACTCAAAATTGCAAGGCCCTGAACCCTCAAGGCCAAGGCTTTAGCCCTCAAGCCTCGAGGCCAAGGCCAAGGCCCTAAAATCCAGCCTTAAGGCAGCCTTAAGGCCAAGGCCCAGCATCAAGGCACTACATCACTGCTTTAGAGTGTCAGTCCCTAACAATCCAGTAAGGTATTTCGTGATAATTTGATCATTTCGTTTTGCGATGTTTGCAAATGTTGTATCTTCCCTTTAACTAATAAAGAAGCAATGAAAAAGAATTGACGTATACATAAAGAATTTTTTTTTTTAATCTGAGTTAATTCGGGGGAAAATGCTAAAAATTGCTTCATCGCATAGTCTTAATATAAGTAAAAAATTAAGCAGTTTGTTTACTTAAAGACCATATGATTGACACATGTCCAATCAATTTTCACAAAACTATGATACACCTTCAAAATCAATTTACCATATGAATTATGTGATCAAAAACGGTGCATGTTTTTCTCTCCAAGGGAACTCTTACAATCAGACTTGTTTTTGTAGAACATGATCCCTAATATCTGAAGCTTGTATTTGACGGGGAGGTTTAACAGGAAATTGCTTGCAATGAGATAAGGGCAGAAGGTCAAGTAGAAGGATACATGGTAGATACAGCAGGGATTCCTTCTTGTCTCTTCTTCATATTCTGCGGATTATCCACTCTCAGGGACGATACTTCTACTTATAATAATCATACCCTTTTCATTTGGAATAATAATATTAATTGTATCCATCGTAATCCATCGTATCAACGATCTCAAAGCACTTTACAATTATTACCCCGTTCATCAGGCCATGGGACCACGCGGCAGCCGATATCAGCGCTCAATCGGTCCTCGACCCTCACAGGTACTCATTTATACTCCTGGGTGGAGACAGGCAATTGTAGCTACATGTAAGTGTCTTGTCCAAGGGCACAAACACCACGTTCCTGGCCGGGTTCGAACCCACGCACCTTCGTACATGAGTCACACAGCGTAACCACTGGACCATGGCGTTCTACGCCAGTGTTCTCACTGAAGTTTTTCAGTGAAGAAATTTTCCCTGAAGTTTTCAGTGAACATATTTTCACTTTCAGCTGAATTTGAACCACTATTCTAGTGTCAAGTAACTACCCTATTTAAACAAGTCATCTCATCAACTCTTTGTGCTCATTATTAAGTCGTCGTGTTTTTTTTAATTGTAAGGTTTCTTTGAAATTGTTACTTTGAAACTGTTCACAAAAATTAGACTTGACTTATGAGCAACTTCATTGCATATGTAATCAGCATACCTCATATTTGTTTGTATGTTCTTATTACCATAACTCTGACAAACATGGCAAGTCTTCTGCATGTGACATGCATTTAAGCACACCTTGGAATGTGCACGCTCACATGCATTGGATTACATACCTAATATATTGCGATGTCTAATACAATTAATAAGGCAATATCGAATACTATGTACACTAATTGATAGCAACTTTGACAATGTAGAAGTTCTTTAACCATTTTTTAAAATTGGATTCAGACAGATTTAATTTACATCCACAAGTGCAGTTCCCTAACCCTAGGCCTTTTTGCTAGGATGTAACCTGAATCCTGCAAAATCCTCCAATTGGCCTCATGGGAAAATAGCATATACATGTAGCCTCAATCCTGCAAAATCCTCCATTATTTCTTGAATATGGTCCGTGGAGAGGTGACCACTGCCTGAATCCTGCAAAATCCTCCGGCTATGCCTGTCAATATGTTGAGGCTTGGCCAGTGACATCCTGGAGCAGTACGGAGGATTTCAAGCATAATCAAGGAATAATATCACCAGAGGACTACAATCAGTTAGCTTTAATTTGACTTCCTGAAAGTATATTCTAAATACAGTCATGGTTGTATATTGATATTTTTGTCCAGAATGTAGTAATGTGTATTTTTTAAGGGGGGTTGTATTGTTGAATGGAATGTTTTTCGAACTTTTGATTTGTGAAGTTCCTGCCTTGATTTAATTCAGGTCTCCATTAACAAGAAGTTGAAATGAAGAAATTGGAATGTTTTCATCAAAATTGACAATGACTTCCTCTGGCCATCATAGCCAGCTGCAAAAGTGAATATTATTATGGTGCTATCAGCTCAACACAAAATGTTCAATACAGTTTTCTGATTTGCCCACTGATGAGCAAAAATGTCCTGCCATACAATTAGGGAAATTGGTAGTTTCCTGACTTAAATCTTTGTCATAACAACATTTCCATGGTGTTATGACAAAGTCCCATTTTGAACATTTTAATATATTAAAGGCTGTTACTCACTGATTCCAATCCCTTAAAATTCAAGGGTAAAAAATTGGTTATTCAAGAATAAGAACAAAAAGCTCTATATTGTACTTGTCTTACTTGATGATAATTGCATTTCCTTGTTTGGAAATGCTCAGTAATAATTACCAATGCTCTTCTTTTTTTATTTCAATTGTTAGACCTTGTGAATATTATGTATCATTCAGAATTGTGGCTTAGAATTTCTTTCTAATATTTTGCCCACTTTTTAGGGTACAATATTTCCAAAGATGTGTCACATATAACCATGAAAACTGCATGCAAAATATGTGACCATGTTTTTTAAGAGTCCAAGTTCATTAGTTTTAGTACCTGTAAAGAACTCCATCATGATTGATGTTTATGTCCTTGACTTAATCTTTCTGCTTCCACGAAATGAGCTTTTCCCCTATCCCGTAATTTGGACTAAATACTCTTTTGGGGTCCCACCCACGTGAGATTATGGATGAAAGATTATGGATCTATACCCACTTGATCCTTAGGCCAAAAAAAAGTCTGCGGTTTCTGGTATAGAGCTTGCCCTAAAAGTGGTGGGCGATGCTTTTTTTCTTCTTTTTTTTTACTACTTTTTTTTCTTCAAATGTCGGCTGATGACTGCAAATGGTGCCCGTCTAAATTTAGTGCAAAATATATGGGAGTCCAGAGAGGCCACATAAAGCTTATACTCGATCGTAACCCCATCTGAAAACACGTTAAAATTTTGCAGCAGCAGGATTGCAGTCAAACCAGTGAGTTTGGCGGTTTTGAGACATCATCTTACATTGAAAAAAAACTTTTTCATTTTGCCAACGCGCATGGCTACGACGACGCGCGCGCATACCAGAAACCGGAGACTTTTTTGGGGGGCTTACATGTGTGTGTGGCATGCTTATGCTGTTCTGTTTTTGAGACATGTCAATTTTAGGATTACCTCAGAATACATGTGCATGGATATGCAGCATAATCAGTGAATTTATAATGTCGCAACCAGTCCAAATCATTTGAAATATCTGATTATTCCCGATACTTTTGAGAGGACTTGCCCAAGAATCGTGTTTTGAAACCAGACAAGGTAACTAACAGGTCACACAATAATATTGTCTGGGTGGCACAAGCACCTCACCAATCTGTTTATATTATCTTTCAGAGAAAATGTTACCTTTCTTTGAGAAGAGGCTGGTTTCTGGAAGCAAGTCTGCACAGAGCATGGTTGTCAATGCATTATGGGCATTACTGTATGAAAGTCAGAAGGTAAGAATCAATATGTTAATTACCTCCAGGTAATAGAAATTGCTAAACAGTAGGATAGAATATATGGAACACTTTTACCTTGAAGCAATGATTACAAAATTGATCTTGTTCACTGTTATCTTTGAAGAATTTAGAGTAGCATTCTAAATTACTATACCTTATAAATATTCTTACTAATCCATTCACCATCATGTATCAACCACTGGTGTTGCTATTTTCCAAGCGATCACATGAGGATTCATGTGATTGAGGATTTATGTGCCTTGTACACATGTGTATGTTTCAAGTGGTTGCAGCATTGACCATCCATTTTTTGCTGTAAAAAAGGTCCATTTTTTTTCTTGAAAAACCCTCCCCTCACACCTGGCGTCAGGCCTAGAGGTGATCCACGGAGCATGATGTTTTCTTAAGACCAAGCCCAGGAAAATAGAATGCTCCATGGATCACCGAAGGAGGCTAATTTGACTGTACTATGTGTCAAAGCAGTCAGTGTTTGTTCTATAACCCCTTATCGGATAGTTTTAATTCAATATGACATAAGTTGTAAACTCCCCCTTCAAGACATGTTTGTACCTCTATATAGTGCGTGGTAACAATATGCGCAACGCTTATACCTGTATGCATATATGCACACCGACTTCTGGTTGCCACACTTGTTGCTATGTACAGAGTACTTCATCAGAGCAAGCCATGCATTGTAACAATAGCAAATACCATTTGAAGTGCTGACAGCCAATCAAAAGAGAGAATCTGTGGGTGAGATGTTACAGTGTAGTATTACGATGATCTCAACCCCACCTTTATAGTATTACGATGATCTCAACCCCATCCTTATAGTATTGTGATGATCTGAACCCCATCTTTATAGTATTATGATGATCTCAACCCCATCCCTGAGTATTATGATGATCTCAACCCCATCCTTATTTGCTTTTCTTTACACACATGTTCTTTCTTGAATTGTGAAGATAACCGTTCCTCTGCCGTCCCTTTTTGTCTACAGGCCAAGGCTATTCTGAAAAGCTCTGCTATATTCCAGTGTCTTTTAGATGCTCAGAGCCAAGCATTGATCAGCCCTCATCAAACTTTGACCTTGCCAGCCAAAGGTCAAAATGGAAGAGATAACAGTCTTTACCAGGCCCTATCCTCCGTCTTGGCATTGATGATTGATTAATATCAGGTACTACATACATTTTGTATATGTAAACCTCTTTTGAACTTGGTTCTTTTAGACAAGATTAAAATATATAAGAGGATTCATTCAATTTGGATTCTGATCTGCAATGTTATGTCAAATGTCTGTTAACATTCATGGGCATGTAAATACATCCTGTATAGTGTTTTGTTTTGTGAGATCCTTTCATGTCATGGTAATGCTCATAGTCAAGCAAAACTGTTCATCATTGATCTAAAAGAACAGGGTAACATAATGATATTAAAAATGTTTGTTTACATAACTTCATGCCTAAATTAAGGTACCAAACCAGTAACTTTTAATGATATTGTTCTTTCCCTACGTGCAGCAAATGCATATTGGCAGTTCCAGCATCACGACGTTTTTGTATCTTACGAGCTCACTCAGTGAATAAACATGAAAATGTATTTTTCAAATCTAATACATGTACATCTGTATTTCAGAGAATGTTCAGAGAATGAATGAATACCCATATATGCTATCTTGATTGCCGTTCACTCTTTTCAGTATAATATCAGTATTATTTGGCTGAGTTTGTATGAGCTCCTTGCACAGTGATTTTTATAGTACATGCTGCTGAAACAGTTTATTCATCAAACTTATTCCTTTGAAAGTATTCAAATGAAATGACGTGGTTTTTGTCTCCGTAAAGTTTTGATGAAACTTGTCATGATTACTCCGACAGGAATATCACCAAGTGATGTTACTTTCTGAAGACGTGCCAATAATATGTCATAATTAATTATTGTGTAAGGAATAAACAGACCAATTAAAATAAGATTGAGTGCTGTTAAGTGCGTAGACAGTGGCATTAATATTAAGAGCCGAAATACTTTCTTTACAGAAGGAACAGGAATGATCTATGAAGCCAAACATTTTATTTGAGGATCTTTATGTAGATGGTGTACTGCTGGATGTGCTCATTGTAACATAAAATCAAAATCAAACATGAAAACCACTTAGTTTGGAATTGTTAGCATTTCTGGAGGTAGATGACACGATAAGTTATTGATTATCGGTGGAATTATCCAAAATGTTGGTGTGCTTTAATGTGAAGATTGAGAATGGACAAGAAGTAGAATGTCATATAAAATAGCAGTTTGCTCAAAATTTCCGACCAAACAACCGTTTGACTGATAATACACGAAATGCTGTCTTGCAGTTATTATGTTGCAGCCGTATTTCTGTACATATAGGCCTAATATTTTGGCCAAAAGACGATTTTTATGTACATTTATATAGGCCTAAAATTTTGGCCAAAAGATGATTTTTCTGTATAGGCCTTGTATTTTGGCCAAAAGCCGATTGTTTGTAATGGTAAATCGGCCATACGGGATATGGATTTTTTTTATTGTGCTAGCGTGTGTGTGTGTGGGGGAATTATTATTTGGGGGGATTATTATTTGAGGGTAATGGCAGACTGATCATCTCCCCTAGTACAGAGAATGACCCATTTTGTGCGCAGAAGAGCATTACTATATAGGGACGAGCTTGAACCACCAGTTATTTGCGCAGAAATTAGCAACACTGTCATTTTGTTTTGAATGCCAAGTGCACATTTTGTTGAAATATATCAATAAAAGGTGGCTCGGGCCTCACATATGTTATCTTTGGATTTCATCAAAGCAGGTTCATAACATTGAAAGGGCAAATCGTTTAATTTCCGCGTGTGAGGTTTTTCTTGACAAACAGGAAATCAGTCAGTTGTCACACATTTTGCGGTGGAAAAGTTCCTGTGAACTCGGCGTTAAGTTGCCAAGATCCTAATGCTGACGTTTGCTCAGTAGCCAACGTTGAGATAATCAGATGACAGGCATGACACAGTGTGACAAGACGAAATGAGATGAATGTTCATCCTCAAAAGTGCATTGTCTCGGAGAAGTAAAGACGAGTTCTGTCCGTGGCATTTCTCCTTTGACGTAATATATGGGACGACAATGCCGAGCCTGTCTGATTGAATTAGCACGCCTGATACGTAATATTGGGATAGAATTCCTCCAAACTAACTCCCAGACGCAGCTCAGTCGTCCCCCAACCCCACATTCCCGTTGGGATCACTGAATCACTGTGGTTTGGTTCGTGGTTTGGGCACAGATCTGAGTTTATGTGCAGGCATGACCTCTTTATCGGGCCGAGATATCTTGGTTCTTGAGCTAAGACCACGCGTAGGCTAACGTTATAATGTAATCGAACAAATCGTAAACAGCATCTATGGTACATAATAACATACGTATCCGAAAATAACCGCTATGGTAAAACGGTTTTGAACATCTCGCTGGATAAAGTCGTATAATAACGCAGTTATGTGCTGCCTTGATGTTGTGCATTGTTGAACATGGACTTCGCAATGACATCCTTTTTTTTAATGAGCAGTGTTTCGAGGTACATATGTTGGGTTGTTGATGGATAAAAACAGTACAACTATCGTAAAAGCGGGCCGACTTCTTCGGCACTTGACAAATTTCTCTTAGAAAGAAATATTGTTCTTTTGACATGTTTCTTTTGGATGATAACATTGTTGGCTGTTGATTGAAAAGATCGGACCTTCTCATAACAGCTAATTGTTATAAACGCACGGTCATGTTTTTGATGGACTCTATGTCGGGTAATATACCACACATAATCAAGAACGGGTGACGTCAACGTGACGTCATAGTTTTCAGGGTCGAAATTTCCATAAAATAGCCATATTTGAACAGAAATCAAACAAATTTAAATGGAATTTTGGAACATTTAAAGTTTGAGCGGAGCGCAAACGTCAATAATGTCATTAACTGCTTACACGGTCGTGAGTGCTGTAACTGCAGACGTAATAAAGAGTTCTAATTCTTAAAGACCAACTCCAACGAGGAATATAAAAAAACCAATTTCTTGTAGTTTATGACATTTCAACCAAGTGGTACATGCTATGTAGCGATCTGCTCTGTATTCCTAATCTTTTCTTCACTTGACACTGGTGGCGCTTTAGAACTTTATTTTCTAGACGTTTGGCTAAAGAAATGATACAAGTACTTCTATACAAGGAATTGTCGCACACGTTAAGACATCTACACTAGTAAGCAGGAGGTCGTGGGTTCGTGTCCCATCCAAGTGAGCGAGTGAAGTTCCCTCGCAATCCCTCTTAGTTTGCTGTTCTTTAGAAAATTACGTCAGTGAAGGGCAAAAACCCGAGTTCGGGCATACTGTGATATAAAATCACGTACATGAAGTTTTTTAAGATGTGACCTATAACCAGTTCATGTACAAAGTCATTTATAGACCTATATTTTGTAGTTATATTAAGCATTAGAATATAACCGACTTGGCATTGGGAACATCTGATCACGCGTGTTGTAATTGCATTTGACATGGACAGGCAACGTTAACGGATATCAAGCGGTGACCCTGGATCATGAGTCCATCCTGTACAAGGTTCATCCAGTGGTCAACTTCCAACGAAGGTGAAGGGAAAACGCTTGTTTTTAATCTCAGTATTCATCAACTCCCAAGGAAATACCCATCGGCGTATTAGCTTGCACGTTCAACGAAGACTCTTTGACAGACCATACGGTCACCATATTAAACGCAAGCTTCCTAGCCCTGAAGACGTTTTGCAACATGAGACCATTTTGATTTCGTGTTCTTTGATTGCTGGAATTTCAACGTATCACCTTGCAAATTATGCAGGGAAGAGTTAATTCAAACAGTGCCTGGCCCTCTGTATTCTATTCATCGAGCTTCAATAACTGTTCTTTTATGGATCTGAACCAATTTTCAATAGAATATGTGGAAAGTTACATAGCAAGCAAACTTAAACGCAAGAAAAATTTCATGACGTCAACAATTGCAGAAGTGACTTTAACCTCACTCTAAGTTTCATGTGAAGTATGAACTGAGCTGGCATTAAGTATGCTTCAGGATATATGTATCTTTGAAATTCATTTGAGCGTAAATATTGTTTAAACTTTTTATTTATGTTTATTGAACCATAATAATATATATATAACGTCAATACACGAGTACAATTAGCATGTCATTATCACGAGTAAAATAGACCATTGGGTTGAAGTCCTATTCTATTACGAATGTACAGAATTTAGACAAAGACACATATATACACAATAAAATTTTACAATAAATTGACGTAGTTATCGGTGCATGCATTGGACGACAACTTCCATGGAATCCACGGAATCCATTGAAACGCAAAACAGCTATCAGAAAGCCACTACGTTGGATATATCACTGGACATATTATACTTATATGAATACCGCATATTTATTTAGCTATCGTTTCATTTTCTTGAACTTTTCAAGCTTACTTAAGTGGTGTATAACTGAATAGGTTTGCATTGGCAGCACAAAAGTTGGAAACGGAATTCTTCATGGGAAGTGTATAAATCTCGTTTACTTTAACAACCTTCGCCACCCTAAAAAGGCTTCCACAGTCATGGCAACGTATTCTGTTGTTTGAAGTACTTAAAGGATTTCTGAATGGCTATATAAGTAGTATAGTACATATACATGTATCATAGTAAATACAAACTAACATTTACGCTCCCAGAAACAAAGAAGTCTAAGAAGTCTACTTCTTTGTTAAGAAAATATACATAAAAATAATCATAAAAATATTTTTTTTTCTCCTGACGTGAATTTTATTTGTACATTCAGAAAATTGACAAATCTACGCGTGGGCTAGGGGCGATGGAACATATATATTATGTACTCTACACAATCATTATGGTCAACTTCCAAATCTCCTGTTCACAACCACACGATATTAGACATGAATGGATTCATATAGAACGTGGGATTATTCTGAATATTTGCTCTGATACTGAAATGGCTTATATTCAAAACACATGTTCAGGTGTGGGGACAAAATGATTGCCCACAACTCAAATTACACATAAAACAAAGCATACAACTTGAAACTCATTAAAGATAAACACAATGTATATTGATCCGTTCGTCCGAAACAAGTACATCGAAAGGCCAACTCATGCCTGAAATCTCGTGATGGTCCGTAAATGTTCACCTTCCCGTTTACAAAATACCAGCGTTAACGATCACGTACAATATTGTCTACGGCCCGTATATAAGTCCATCTTTGTTAGACGCATCCGGTTGCTATATAATTATAGCTCGGCAGTGCTTGTAGATGGGTAGGCTAACGACAGAACTCAAGCATTGTAATTGTTCGTCTATGAAATGTAAATGTGTCCATTGTGTTGTAAATACATAATGTAAATATAATGTTTTCTCTAACAGTTTCATCGTGGTCGTACACAATTGTTTCCGATTTACCTCAACGATAGCGTTTTCATGTATTGAGCTCAGACAGTAATTTTGTTTAGACATTAAAGCTTGATCCCCTGAGTTGGGAAGCATTGGGCACACATCTACCGCAGGATACTGGACAGTAGTTGGTAGCGAAGTCCTCATTGCCCTCACACATTATGGCATCCGACCACTCACAATACTGGAACTCGTCTCGGCAGATTGCTGTCAATGACAATCAGGATCAATTTAAGAACAATCAGAAGATATACCTATACTGAGGAATGGTGTTTGTGGTCGTCACATAAACTTATGTTCCCTTAATGCAGTATCAGCATTATGTTTTAAACATACATTGGTAAACAGGCATATGACAATAGCACTTGTGAGCTATATTGGCAGCTTTTGGGAACTAACCTGTGCAGTCCTCGCCATGCCATCCACTGGGGCACTCGCAAGTGCATGTCTCATGGTTCAGTAGGCCTTGGTTGAAGCAAGTCAGATCACAATCTAGAAAGTGAACAAAATTGAAGGCAACGTTCGGTTGGAAAGTACTTAGGATATCGGAAATGGATGTCTTATACCAAAACGGTAGATTAAGCAAGGAAATGACTCACTCGGAATCAAAGTAGAGAGAGGTGTCCATGCGTATTTTATGATGAGTTTTTAATTGTCGCTGACGTCAAGATGACCAAGCCAACCGGAACTATACGAGAGGGTGGGGGGATTATGTACAACCCTAATACTGCCATTAGTTGACGGTAATTAGGACTGATGTTACGAATTCCATAATCATTCAGATCGTAATCATAGATGAGAATTCTTCAAGTTGAACGGATACTTTACCTTCAGTAACAGCTACAGACATCACAGGATCTGCGATAAAGAATTAACAAAAAAAATAATGTAGTTAAATCACACAATGATGTAACATGTAGGCATATTTGGCACTTGCCTTAGAGAGTGAAGTTACAGTTTCGTTTTACAGATAAGACTGAACTACATTCACACGCTGCGCTCTTTAAAAATGTGTACTAGTTCCTCCATTGATTGCATGAATTTCTGAGCAAACAAAAGAAAGACAATAATTGACTACTAAAATATTCTGGAAGTTCCCATCTATGAAAATCACCTGAAGCGATGAAGCCATCCATCGCTCCCTGTATGGATTATGAACAGTCTGTCTGTCTCAGAAGGGTTGATTTGAACATATTCTCATCACATCAAGATTTTATGTTGCTAATTAACTACGGCTCACTTTACTCTAGACACAAATCTACACTCTAACATGCAAAATTTTCATTGCACAGAAATCCAACTTGAAACGATTTGTTTTCATTCAGGAGGTTAAACTTTTGTCGCAAACAATCTCAAAATAATCGGTCAATTTTTATAAAGATTTATGTGATTTTTGTCGTCGTTGTCTTCCACACAGCCTGAGTGTTGTTTTTTCCCCAGAAGATCTTAAAAAATTAAAGAAACATTAATTCAATGAGTCAGTGTAATGAAGAAAAGAAAGAGTTGTTCATTTGACGTGATCTCCAAATGCGTTTAAAACAGAACTCAATATCCCCAAGGGGTAGTCATGCAGAAGACATGTATGGCCCATACATATGCAATATGCAAAATAGGGGCTTTTGTGTTAAGATGATCTAGACTCCACCAACTAAGCTCATGTTTTAATCTCATTTTTGAAAAGCCAGATAACACGTAGCCCATGGCACGAACATCAGAGAACCTGTAGTCGGACTGTTTAATTTAAACTCTCGTACAGGAAAATCACTCACTGCATAAGCCGCACATAGCTTGACAATACTGGAGCACGTAGGGATGGTCGTCATCACACCAGTTCGGATACCAGCCACGATGACACAGGACCTTGTTAGTGTTTTCACAACGTTCTGTCAAAGGACAAGGACTATTATGTTAAGGGAGCCTCGTTTCAAATCCCGGAAGTGCGAAGATCAGTGTTATTTTCATTAATTTGATATCTGTCTGTTGTCAAACCTACCAACGAGTCCAAACTACGGAAATGTAAGGTGACCATGCATATTTCCGCGTTATCGCGCTAAATCATAATGGAATATCGAAAACTTCCGCATCTTCTGCATGCGATTCCAGACAAGCTTCGTCTCATTTTACAAGGATAGGCCCTACGCTGTTTCTCTGCAGACTAAGCTTGGAATGTGTAAAAGGATCGTGAAATGAAGGAAAACCACAATATCGATGACATATTTGAAATAAATACCCACGCATTTCACACTGAAAAGACCAACAAAACTTACTTTTCCGTCATTACTTTGATACTATATCTGGAACCAACATATAAATCTGCCTTGGAAGATTTTCAGCGGTATCTATACGGACAAAACACGATCGTTACCGCCTTAATAGACGGATCCAGGCACGTGATCATTGAACACTCACGGGGGCCCCCTTCAATGGAGAACCATTGTGTACGCTACTGTACAAAACAACTTCCCCATGACGAATTGTCTCAATATAATAGCTAGCACAATGATTTCGCCATTGCGGGGGGCTCAGTGGTACAAGCGATAGCGGACTGGTCAATATCTAGGCTTGAGATCTTTTTTTGTCTCCGATTATTTGCACCTACACTGCAAAAACTGCAGTGTTAAATTTACACCATTGGTATCTATACAGGACCATCTGGTGTTAAATTTTACTGGTGTTGTCCTATATAGATACCGAATGGTGTTAAATTAACACTACAGTTTTTGCAGTGTATAAGAAGCATCTCACCTGCACAAGACTGGCCCATCCAGCCATCATCACAGCTACAGTGGCAGTTCTCATGATCCATGGACCCATGTACGCATTGGATGTTACATTCTATGTAAAAACAACAGAGACTGATCATGCTTCACGTACTTTGAAATTTATAATTTATAATTTACACGAGTTAGAATAGGATGTTCGCGGTCAGACTGGAATCGAAACTATATTATGTGGTAACTTTTACTAGGTCAAACATGTTATGTTGGCCGTGTGGGCTTAACTGCCAACGCACGAAGGGACCGTGTAAACCAGCCACGCCCTAGGCGTTGCTTCCTATGATGTATACCCATGGGAATACCATGCTCTTCTTTTGTCAGTCATATTTTTCTCCTTTTTTGGGGGGGGGGGAGCCGGGGGAAGCAATGCCACATCATTATATGTATATATGGCCCGATATCACGTTAATGAGTTACATTATTTTGACTTTTTTTCAGCTGAAATGTCATGCGATTTGATTGAATCCTGGGTGGTTTTAGTAAATTTTTAAAATCTTTTTTTCCAAGATGTTCAATCAATTCCTACTTTTGAATGAACAATTACTGATTTCAATGTCTTGTAACTCATGCTAGCAGAAGTTAATAAATCTGAGATTCAGTCCAAACAGGTGTTGTTTCTTCCCTCTAGTTATGATTACAGGAGGGTATAAAAAACAATACGCTAGCTCGATATCAAGTCTTACGAACACTTTTCTAACTAACGCAAATCATGATACACACGCAGCATGCCATAAAACGGACAATTCACAGTGATTTCACACCAAATAGGCAGCGGCGTAGCAATGGGGGGTGGGAGTGGGCGCACGCCCCCCATAAAAAAAAATCGACCCCCAGTTCCCCCCCCCCCCCTCCCTCCTCCCCACTGAAATTTTGGCATTCGGCGAAAGTCGCGACACCGTGATTAGCGGGCTTAACATAAAGTGCGCTCTCTCACATTTGAAATTTGTTATTGGCGAAAACCCTTATATGGGGGCGATTGGATGTTTATTCTTAACGTCCCGCGTAAAACGCATAGGCCTGTATTGTTTGACAATGACACATGAATTCAGTTTTGAACAGCACCCCCATTAAAATATGGCGTCCATCCCCCTCCCCCCCCCCCCCCCCCAACTTTTTAAATTCACGGAGGCCGAGTGTCCAGCACGGATGAAATTGGGCACCCCTCCACTGTAACATCCACCCCCCCCCCCCCCCCCCCCCCGGATGATAACCTTGGGTCCGCTGCTGCAAATAAGAAACGATCATTATTGTGATCTTAGAATCTTTTAAAGGAGTAACTTCCAAATGACGCACAAGTACTTAATACTACCAATCCAATACTTGATGGTAACTCTCGCCCATCATGCCAAGTTGGCATACCTGAGCATGTAGCACCGCTCCATGGCTCAATGCAATCGCACATACATGTGTCAGGATTTTTAGTGCCTCCATTTTCACAGTCTGGTCCACCACACTCTGTAATTGGAGACATCAAAGAGCGGGGGGAGGACAATGTTATTGTTGTTATTAATATGAGATTGATAATGTTAACAGACATTAATATCTACATCTTACTCTGATGAGGCACGTACAATTGTCAACATGAAGACTGTCGTAAGGAACAAAGTAATCACTCTTCGGGCAGAAAACCTCAAATTATGCACTTCCTAACCAACACCCGCACTATCCTCAGCCACCTCTGAGATACGGAACAAAGGTCTGAAACATTTAAGAGGTTGACTGTAAGCAAATATTACATTATCAGTTGTACGAGAATCCAAGGTGAATGACTGAAGTAAACCTGAATTCATCGGGGAACCAAACCACTCAAGGTGATTACGGGAAACAAGCTTACCACAAACTCCACAGAGTGCTGGACACAGCTGCTCGACTGGGTTGGCATCATTCTCCACAAAGCACCACTGCTTAGGCCATCCATCACCACACCATGGGTGCGTGTTATTACAAACATCTAAGAAAACGAGACAGAGCCAGAATGTTTCAACCCCAACCCAACCTTTCCATCGGTATAAAATAACAACTCAGCTAGACCAGACTTTGGGGTTTCAAGTTCAAGATCCAGGTTTTCAGTTCTAGCGAACTGAACTTACTTTAAAATAATTGTGTCATTGACATTACTTTTGGTCTACATGTAACTATTATTTTGGTTTTTATAAATTGCTTGTAAGTTTTTCATTTGGAGAAATGATACTGTGCTATTATTTCACACAATCAAAAGGAGAAATGTCAGGGCAGACTCTGAGTATTGAATGGTAGTAGAGATTTTTACAGTCGATTAAGAAAGATTTTGAACACTAATATAAAAGTCTAATACCAATAGCTAAAAAGTCAAGTTTGAATTTTGAAATATAAATCGTTGACATATTCAGTTAAACCCCAAACCATTGCTCTTGGCCACTTTAAATGCCCCAGTAAATGTTTACAAGATTTTTTGTTACAATTATGAATATGCACGTATTTAACTCAAATCAAAATAGAAGACATATACTTACTCTGGCACAGTGTTCCTGTCCATCCCGCTGGGCAGTCACATTTACACTGGTCAGTATTCATGACGCCCCCATTTTGGCATTCCAGGTGACATTCTATCCAGAAAAAAAAACAATCAGCTTGAACACATTACTGCTATACATTATCAATCCAGTCCGCCTCATCAATTCTTAAAGGGAATGTACAACATTTGCTTTTGCTGCAATTTTCAGAAATAAATAGATTTGGAGGATTAGTAGCTATAGCAAATATTGTTAAACTGACTTGTTTTAAGTTTTTGGGCTAGGACAAACCAAGAAAACCAATGATGTTCTTGTAGTCTGGTTCCCTGACCCCACCTAAGATGAAATTTAGCAATGTATAGTCTTTGGGGGATTGTTAGGTCAGAAAATCAGTCTAGCAGGCTTGTATCCCTTCACATGTGTGTAATCAATTGCAAAGTAAGTGCGGAATAACTAAATATTAAGAGCAGTTTTTGAAAAAAGCCAGATTTCTCAGCGTTGGAAAAATACAAGTTTTTTTGAAAATGTCAGCACACCAGGAGCCACGATTTTACAGGATGTTTTAGACTGTCTTTTCCCAACAATCCAGTAAGGTATTTCGTGATCATTTCGTTTGTTGATGTTTGCAAATGCTGTATCTTCCCTTTAAGTTGAGATATTGATTTACAGATAAAATACAATTGAGGACAAGAGAATTTCTAAACAAGACAACAAAACAAGACATATACCAGCCGTGTGTGTACGGTTTTCCCCCACCACGCTGTACATCAGTTGGCATGTATCAACGATCATTGACTCCTTAACTGAACCAAATCCAACCTCGTACAGGTTCACAGGGTTAATCTGTCAGGGGAGTCAGGTAGGCGTAGCGGTACTTTCCCCGCCTTCCACTGCTGTGACCCGGGTTCGAATCCCACCTAGGCCAATATTTGGATTGGTTTTCAGTCCCTACCGGATTCCGTGGGTTTTCCTCAGAATATTCCTCTGGGTTTTTCCTCCCACCTCTAAAACTGTAACTTCTTCTCATTGTCTTCTCTCTACAAGTTTATTCGGGCTTTCGAGTTACAGTGCCTAGGGTACTTTTGAGGAATCCTTGGTTTCATTACCAGAAAGAAATAAAATAACATAAAAAATAACATAATATAATCGAATGGTCTTTCTTCCATGGATTGACCACGCCCAAAATATGTTTCTATGTGCCGAAGTTATGAGTTTCACTGAAACAAAGAAAGAAGTGAATTTCAATACGAACTCTCTAAATTCCTTAGAGTGAAAATTCACTTCATTCGAGTGAAGATTCACTCCCACAGTCGGAAACTAGGGACTAGACGTTTTAGAGTGAAATTTCTTCAATCGTAAAGATCGAGTTTTCACTCGAGCTTCGACTGAAGTGGTTCTTTTTTCTAGACTATTTCAATCGAAAATGAGAATGATTTTTACTCTAAAACGTCTAGTCCCTAATTTTACTCTTAGAAATTTAGAGAGAAGGCAATCAATTATTGAGGGCAGCACAGTGTTCATCTTTAAGTTCATTTATCGGGGCAGATAAGTACAGTAATTCAACTTTATTCAAAAATGACCAAATTGTTAGATGGGTCGGTTTTATTTAATGGTAAATTTAACCTTAACGTATTTTGTTTTTCAAAGGCGCGAATTATTGAATTAATGTGTGAATGTTTAGAGACATTTTATATAGGTTTACACCCTTATAAAATAGACTTCCGATTTCAGTCTGAAATACTCATGACACGGGTACACTTAAATTTTGTATTTATACATGTATTTTGCAATGTTTAAGCCTACAAAAAAGGCAACATCTAGGTCCGCATGTGATGATTTGTTTTCCGGAAATGTAAGAGGACAACAGTTGGTGTTTGTCATTTGCCATAGTTACTGAATGTCATTTGTCATATATGGTAATCTCCATGAGATTACCCATAGCGTCTCAAGGCTTTCTGATGACAAACAGCTGTGTATTGTCAGAATAACATCAAATGAATTCTACTAGCTACTACTCTGACCATTATTTTGCTGTGGAACATCTAGATATTGGCATCCAGGGAACAAATACGGGCGATACAAAAACTTTAATGTTTAAATTGTATAATTCTTAGGAAGAAGAAATGAGTGCTGAGACTACAGTAACTTGACTAAACTTGAAAAGCATTGGAATTAATCAGTGGCGTAACTACGGTTAAAGTTCTGGGGAACCTGGGGTGCATACATTTTTCAAGGGGGGGGCACTGAAGGCAAATCAATATTTTTAGTTCAATTCAACATTTTAAATGGGGAGGGGGCACAGGAGGGGCAGGAATATATGTTTAGGGGACACTTTCTATCCCCGCCCCGCCCGCCTCGTAGTTATGCCACTTGAATTAATTAAATGGATCAGGTGTGACTTACCACATCCCTGTTCGATCAAGGAGCATTCACCTGCATCAACAGAAAGGGAAAAAAAACATTTTTGTTTTGCTATGTGCATAAATACATATTACTTTCTGTGGGGAGAAGCAGTCTTTTCTTTAATGGATGACTTACATTTTGTTTTTGAACAAGTTTTTATGACATTGTTAAAAAATTATGTTTTCATATTTTGGGATAAAAAAATAAAATAGCTGTGGTGTATGATAACGGCACAATGTGTCTTTTACTTACTGCAAAGTCCGTTCCTACAGTTTCCGAGGCCCGATGCGCACAGGCTGCACTGCTGACCAATCTGATACGGCTTATGACCGTTCACGTTCCCGCTACATCAAAATATAACAGCAAGTGCAAACATCTTTCACTGACATTATACGTGAAAACGGAAAATACAAATGTTAAATCTGAAATAACATGAATATAAGAATACATCCAAATTGGATGTATTCTTATATTCACGTTATTTCATCCAAACGTATTATAACATCCACATCCGCATCCTCACTCTCACACTCCTTTGTCCATTCCCACTCCCTGTGACCTTTGATCCTTCCCCTTTCTGGTCCCTCCCCTGTTTATACCAGACCCCTTGTGGTTTGCCATCTCCCTTTGTTTCTTTGTTCTCTCATCCACCCTCCCCTTTCCACACCTTTCCCACCTAATCCTCCTTTTGTGTTTCTTCTTCCAGCCCTGCATGTTTGTGTGCACCCCCATGTTAATGTATGTACCTCTGTCATTTCTGTTTTAGCCTCTGAAGAAGAACTTGCTAAGTTCGCAACGTCAGGCCACATTAATTTTTAGATTTATTATAACATTGATAGATTACAGAGTGGATGCGGTTGTAAAACTATGGTTTATCGGCGACCAACTGATGTACCCGGTTACTTCAAATTGAATAACCGCCAACGGTTGATAGTTAGCTACATTCCTTGTGCATTAAATTGTGTCCTCGTTCCAAGGCTTGGTTCCAAGTAGGAAAGGGGGAGGGGTTCTGGGAACGAAAGGAATTCTCATATTAAAATCTCAAGCTGTGAGGACGGACGAGAATCCAAACATTTGATCATTGTGAGCACCGTCAATGAAGGTCCAAGCACATCTGGATTTGCTTGTTTTTCTATAATGGCTCGGGAACCAATTTGCACTCAAAACTTAAGATGGTTGTTTTATGTGATCGGTATTTGTGTCACTCTTACCAACTCATTTTGGTGGGTTTATTGTTTCAGATTAAGGAACGATTAAAGTTCAACAAATAAACAATAGCATGATGCATTTTGCTATAAATAATAACGGGGGCAAACAATGGGCGGAAACACGCGCCTGGATGTTAAGGATGGTTGTATTAGGTCCATACTTCCATTCCAATCCTTTACTATGCACGACTCACGCATGTTTACGTTACATACCAAGTGTGGACATTCCCTTGCTTTCGTGTAGTTAAGAAAAAACAGTGAAAAAAACTCATTTTTCTCAAACTGTGAAAACTCTTTCAACACAATTCTTTTTCTATGATCCCCTTTAGTGTTTCTCTTCATTTTGCCACGGATAAACCTAACCCAAAAATGTCTCTAAACCTGTTTTCCAGAAATGGGGAAAAACTGTGTGGACTTGCCCAAGTCCACACAGCGTCGCCTCTACCTGGTTCATGTGGACCTCTTTTGTTCGGAAGTCCACACAGTGAATGTAATGCCTACCCATCTATACCTACCCAGGCCCGTAGTTGCAGACGAGTAACTGTGCGTCAGTAAACTCGGCTCCACCTGGCTGTGGATCTCGCAGGACAGGACAGAATTGCATGGCGCATCCAATCTTGTTGGTGTGAGCCCAGACTACCTGCGAGGGAACGCACGAGTCGTCAATATTGACACTCTATAATTAAGTACTCCCCTAGCCAGCCATTCAGTCATTGGCCAGAAATACGTCGAGTCATTTCGTTTCAAGTTGCAAAAAAAAGTCACAAAAGCCATTTGATTCAAGTCGCAAAAGCCATGGACTTAATTGCATTAATAAACTTGGAAGGTAACTGAAGCAACACCACAATTGGTGGTTTCAAATTGAGTTTCCATGGTTATTCCTGAAATGTAACGAATTCCTTCAATTTATAGAAAATTCTGTGCTCGTTTTGCAAGTCAATTAAAAAAGGTGATGGTATTTGTTCTTTTTGGTTTGGTTTTGTTTTCGGTTTTGTTTTTATTTATTTTATTTGTTCGTATAATAACTGGGGATATTTGTTTCGTTAAATGGAAAATACAACATTTGCAAACATCAAAAAATAAAACTACCAAATCATTTTGAAATACCTTGCTGGACTGTTAGTGAATGACAGTGTAAAGCATCCTGTAAAATCATGGCACCTGGTATACTGTCATTTTCAAGAAAAGTGGTATTTTTAGTATCAATTTCCAACGCTGGTCGGCCGACCAGCGTTGGAAAAAAGCTGGCTTTTTTTCAAATACTGGCCCCAATTGACCATCGCACTTGTTTGTAATCGATTACACACCTATGAATGGGTACAAGCCAGCTAGACTGGTTCCCTGACCTATACAATTCCCCAATGTATGTAAACTGCTCTGTTTCGTCTTATATGGAGTCAGGGAACCAGACTACAGGAAAATGATTGTTTTCTTGCTTTTTATAGCATTTTCGAACCCAAAACCTCCAAAAAGTCAGTGTAACTATATTTGCTATATATTTCCAACCCCCCAATTCCATCCATTACTGAAAATTACAGCAAAAGCAAATGATGTATATTCCCTTTAAGGTTTAAGGAGTCTGATGAGTGAGCTCTAAACAGGCGCGGTTCTAGAGCCAATGTTTTTTTTTGGGGGGGGGGGCTAGCAGGGTGCATCCAGCGCTGATAAAATCCTACACATCAGGCACACTATATTAACTAACAAATGCACCCTTCTCACGACTATTTATTTAGGGGAGACCGTTCCCATGTACGCCACATTGTTACATTTTGCTATAGTGCAATTTTTTAATGTTTTTTTTTTGGGGGGGGGGGCTAGACACAATTTTTTTTTTGGGGGGGGGCTAACCCCCAGCCCCCCCCCCTAGAACCGCCAATGGAGCTCTATAAAATCAAATCCTTGATTCGCCGCAGGACGTACCCGGAACGAATTGGTGGCCCACTATGTGTAATGCCTTATAGCCTTATATACGCTTATTGACAGCTGTTATGTCTAACATGATGTTTTACACCCGAGGGACGGATGGCACGCGAGTTCCGTTTTAGCGACACGTTATTATGCGTGTTGTCCTAAGAGTCCACCACATGCAGCTGAATCCAAGCGGAAGTCATTTTCCTCATTCCAATTCCATTTCCAAATCTTCAAACCCGAGACCGAGTCTTTCAATTAGAGTGCTTTTGAAACTCCCGTTAATCTTGTAAATTAAAATCTAAAAATTTGCAATATCTTTGGCTGTGATTCACTGGAACTATAATGTTATCAAAATTAAGATTGTGGCTTAATTTCACTTATACATTTCAAGTTTCCACCTTTTTGACTGATGCGGTCAAAGTTGATATCCTTTGCCGTTATTTTTTCAGCATTCCCTTCACTAAAGTTGTCCAATATTTCATATTGGTTCAATAAAATGGACAGTTTTTGCCGCCCTCGGGTGAAATTCTAGATTTTTTTCTGAGTTGTTTTCGGTCATTCAGTGTAATGTGTAGAACGTTTAAAAGAGTTTGCCTTAAATAATGCTGTTTATGTTAATTCAATATCAACTTACGCTTTGGGGTTCTCATTTCAAAATTTGATCTATTTCTCTTTCATGTCTTCATTAAACCAGAGAGGAGCGAAGACAAATGTTTGTAAATCGATGTTGCGGTCTACTCCTCCCATTTCCCTCCACGGACTCGTAGAATGTTAAAAGAAACCAAGGGAATCAGTTCACCTATTCTCAAACAAGGTCCAACCCGGGACCCCCTGCTTGCTTTCCAAATTGCAACCGCCGGCCGGTCAGTCAGCCCCCCTCACGATAAATCCTGGATTAACCCATGTCTCTTAGCCCTCACACTTCTTCTTCCTCCAAACAATCCATCGATGAGCATTCTACCGTTTGCAGAGGTGGAAATTAGTTGCCCGTGGTGATTGCTGTTAAAAGGGCCGTTACTTGTATGATCATCATTATCGGTAAACAAAAATATATGCCTCTCTTTAATGGCCCGTCAAGAATTAAAGTCCGGTTCATTTTCCAGGTCGTGACTCCGGCAGTGGCGTTTTTTTCCAAGATTGATTGCTGTGGTGGAGGCGCTTTCAGGAAATTACTGCTAACATTGACTTCCGCGCGTGACAAGGACAAACAGCGAGCGAAGGTTTCAAGAAACAAGACTAGGTAAACAAACTATAGCTGGTCCCACACCGATTTCGTCTAAAAGGTCTGAGGGTTTTTTCGAAACCCAGGCTTCGTCTCAGAGCTTCGGCTTCATGTCTGTCTGCGGAATCATGCCTAAATCAACTGGAAATGCTCTAATGTTGGTCTTAAATATTATTTTGACTTTGCCGTTGTTTTTAACCAGTTCTACGGGCTGAGAGACATACCATCGGGCTTATTGTGTAAGTTGACGATCTCAGTCATGTTGCAACTTTTCGTTCGCTGCGTTTCATTTGAATTTGATGGATTGATTGACAAAGTGTAGAATGATTAATTGGACACTCACAATAATGTTCCCAGCCTGCCGGATCTACGGAACCTAGACAATGTCACGGAGTTGTTTTTCTCTTTTTTTTTCATTGTTATGTCGTACCTTGGTTACAAAGGAAAAGCGAGACTTACTTGACATTCAGTCCATTTCCCAAGGAAAAACTCAAACAGACAAAACCTATAGGGCAGTTTGTAAATCCTGCATGCCCGTGTGAATAAAACGTTTGTATAAGTAGTTAAAGGGGTAGGCCTACTGCGTCCAGGAAAGCGCCCAATTGGGCTGCAAACCGCGTTTTAATCAAAATGATGTTAATTGGAAAAAAATTAAAAGAGAATATAAACGTCCATACAACAACACCTTTAGTTTTGGCCGGTTTTGTGTTATTTTTTTTGCGAGAACGAATTTCGGAATTCAAAATTTTTGACTCTAAAAAATCAAGCTGTTTGGGTGCTAGTCGTGATTCCAGTCGCACATGTTCCTTTGAAAACGTTTATTAAAACAAGTGTGTGTGTTCATATATGTTATATATATACGGGCTAGTTTACATTGAAACTCATCCGCTATTGTTTTAGATTAATCAAATTACCGCAGTTTTTTCAGTCTTCCTGGGAGTTTACTTGCGAGCAATGGAAACGTATCTACCCTTTCACCGCTCGGGCTGCGCTAGCTGCCTGATGCATGACAAGTGCATACATACATGTACATGTTCCAAGCCGGTGCATCACATGCAGGGTGGGGAAGGGCGGGACCCCCCCCCCCCCCCCCTTTATTGGGGCTAGTACTAGTAGTGCATACATGTACACACACGACATTTACCGTACTACATTGAATCGCGGCTGGAAATACGTATGCGTATGCCACAAAATGTCCGCTGCGTAAACAAGTAAACAACATGGTTTTTTCCCATCTCTTCTCAGGAACAGTGCGACATTAGTTTAGTTTCCTTTCAACCAGACCTTCGAAGTAGGATAAGTAAACAATCTAAAACATACAATTTTCAGCGATTTCAGGACGATGTGCCCCTTGAAAGTGTGAAAAGGTCTTTGCTCGATACGATGAATACAACGACAACGAGATTTCATTAACTAAAGAAAGAAAAAAAAATCCTCGGTAATTTTTAGCATGAAGCGCATTTTAACCTACCTGGGTGTAGTGACCGCACACAGTGTCTGGAACACACGAATCGGTGTAAATATCGTAGTTCCTCTTTTCATTGAACCAGTGGGAGATGAGATACATTGGAGAGGCCGGGGCCCCGCCCCTGCTGTAGGCCAGATTCTGACCTACGTGCTGATAAGGAGTTATGTTGTCCGGATTTCCGTGGCCCCAAATGCATCGTTTAGCGTAGTCCGATGCCATAGTGGCTAAATCATCATCCCATTTCTGAAAAAAAAATGTTAAAGCAAAGAGATTTTAGCGCAATGTAATCAAATTAGTTTCATAACCAAAAAAACGCACCTTTGCTCCCATTATCCTTTTTTTCCTCAACGTGTATCGTCCTTTCCATGGATACGGGCCCGAGTTGGAATTGTATTCTCAGGCCAGTTTCATACTCAACTAATGGTGAAAATGCTCAATGAAGCTGACAAATTAACTTTCCAAAAAGTGCATACATGTTGCATTAGTTTGCTTGAAAATACCTTACTTTTTCTCAGCACAAAAAATTTGATGTAGTTACTAAAGCACGAAAGTCAAAGGTATATATTGTACCGTATACTGGAGCACTGTGGTCAAATAGTTACAGTGCTCGACCCATGTGTCATGGTTCCGTGGTTTCGAACCCTGCATGAGGGGAAACAAGGTGCTTGTGTTCTTGGGCAAGACACTCGACAACAACAGCCTCTCCACCCATTATAGAGACCAGATTGCGCTGATCTCGAACTGCTGCAGAAGGAATGATCTCGTGGACCGATGAACAGATGTAATAATTAGCGCCTTGAATCCTTTGGCATAAATGCGCCTTATAAAATACCAGTTATCAGGTCATTAAAGACCGTGATTGTTTCTCTGAGTTCTCAGCTAATTCTTGATGGTAAATCGGATAGTCTTTAGTTCCCGTTCCTTAATTTTTGAGTATTCTACACATGGTTTACAGTCATTAGCAAGAAGACTTGATCGAAAGGTCAGTTTTCTACTTTGCTGTAGATTTCTTGGCTTTCTCTAATTCCAAAGGCAAATGGTGACCACATTTTTGTGGTTTTTTGTTTCTTGATTTGTGGACTGATCAACGCTTCGCACCGACAGCTGTGTGATTAATCTGATTGCAAGGCGTATCAAGGAGGCTGTGAGTGGGATGATTGCTTGCACTACTGGAGCTGATTATTTACTTTGATCAGACTCGGTACTACCGTCACGTTTACTTGTCTCTGTTCATTAAAGCTGATGAGGTCATAGCGGGCAAATGGATTGACTTATCACTTGTAACCAGCGAGACACCGAGGGTGAGTCTAGCACGTGCCGGTAATCTGGTTTTACAAGGCTCAAGACCTTTCCTCTCGGCATTTCCCTTCACCCGTATAACAAATATGATTTGTTGATTGACCTTTGCCTCAAATTTCATTTTCTTTTCACCATCGTTCAGATTAACGGGCTAACACAGTAACCGACCCGTTGCCGCTGCAGTGCAATATACGTCCTTGTTTTAAGCAACTAAAGGAGATGACGTTTTTTAGCTGGTATTAAATCAGATTATCGTCTTAAAGAAATGGCGTTTATGAAAAAAGTTTGATCACTCTTTTTTTCACCACCATCCCTGAACTAAGACTTCACAAAGTTTCACTTTCTTTCTACAAGTTGCACTTCAATGGAAGATTTTCGCCTATGCATGGGCGTCGAATCTTCCCATAAAGGGAGCAAAGCGCAGCGTCTCAAGAAATCACCAGCCATGGGAAAATGAATTCGAACTACAATATCATTATATCATGTCATGGCACCTTGGTTTTTTTTTTCATATTCATAGATTTGTAATTACATTTCCACTTTTTTTTTTCTATCGCGCACTGTCACGTTGTATGTAAATGAACATACAACTTTTCTCACTATCGTCTCACCTAAACCATGAGCGGATCTGAGTCCCGGGTTAGGCAAGGCATACACTCTAAAAAAGCATTAGTCAGATTTGACTAGAAACCAGTCAAATTTGACTAGCCATTCAGGGTCAGCTGGGTGCAACTGAAAATCAGTTAATCTGACTAGATTTTTCCAGTCAGTATTCCTGGCTTTGAAGAAATAGTTATGCAAATAACTGAAATTGGAGTCGAACCCAACTACTTTTTCTAGTCATGGTATGAAATTTTGCATGTTTGACTAAATTCCTAGTCAATTTCCAATGACTAGGAAAACCAGTCAATAATTTGACTAAGTTGTTTTTAGAGTGTATACCGTCCATACTTCCACAGCTTTGTGAGCCTAAACACGGGCACAGCTGTAGAGATTGGATTTTCTACCCGGGTATAAATAGAGCCTCTCAATCCTGGTCCCGACCAGGGTTAAATATTGTACCCGTGTAGAGCGCCTGACCTGGGTACAAGCCGTGTAGTGTTGGTAAATAAGAGTGTAATGTAAAAAGGGTTCCGGGTCCAACACGGAGATTTTGGATAGCGTGAAAAGCCTATAGTCCCTTTGGCATTTTTCTCATCTTTAAAGTTCCGATACTTATGACGTGTCTTCTCCTCTCGTAGTCAAGGGCGGATCCGGGCCCCCCCCCCCCCGCCCCCCCCCCTCCCAAAAAAACTTTTTTTTAATGTGACGTCGCAATAAGGCAGGCAATGAGTACACCACCATCTTTTCCTAAAAAAACATTGGTTAAATTGGTCAGAAATTGCCTCAGATCGCACAACAGAGCATCTAGAATCAAAAAAATGTTCGGGGCCCTTAAGCGGGCCCGAACCCCACGCTGTAATTTTTGACCCACTTTTTGGGGGACAAACAGATTTTTTAGCTCCCCAAAAATTGTGTTCTGGATCACCCCTTGCTCGTAGTCTAAATCGTCTCAATTTAGACAATTTGTTTTTAAGAAACTCATTGTAACATTTAACCTTCTAACAATAGCTTCGTGGGCCTATGTGAAATATATTGTGTGAAGGAGATATAAATTAAGATTATAACTCTTTTCAGAACCACACATACTCACAAAAGAGATTTATTCACATGGTGCTACCGCAAACTTATCTTGTCTTAGTATCTTTCCACCATGCAAACCTTCAAATCTCATCGAGATATAATTACCATTTCTTCCATGTTAGCAGCTGGTCCAGGGACGGTCCGTCTGTAGCTATTATGCAAGCCGACGATCATCTTAGACATGCGAGCTGTCATACCGGATTGACCGGCCTGCTTAGGCGCTGCCTGCGGAGCAATCACTTGCTGGTTCTAAAGCAAAGAAACAAATTAACAAACAAACAAACCATTTAAAATGAAATGCGTGACATCATCTGTCCCAAGGAGACTTCATAAAACATGACATGTTTGTAACTGCACAATGCTGATATAAGCATACTTTTAAATAGTCCACTTTTTAAAAACATTTAAATATTCCGATGTTGCTGTGATGTCACTCCAGGGATGCACTCTAAAACGTCCTGGGTCAGAATTGACCCGGAAAAGGGTCATGTGGGGCCTGACCCTTTTCCTGGTCAAAAACGACACTTTTCTTGGTCAAAATTACACTGTGTGACTCGTTTTACGGGTTATTTTGACCCGGAAAAGTGTCGTTTTTGACCCGAAAAAGGGTCAGGCCCAACATGACCCTTTTCCGGGTCAAATCTGACCCGGGTCAAATCTGACCCGGGAAGTATTTAGAGTGTATACTCCCCAGTTTCGGGGTTTCTCTTCACACCAGTATAAACGTATATAATGAGGTCATAATTCGTTTGAAAAGACATAGAACAAGGCCTAGCTGAGACATTCTTTAATTGAGCCATATTGGACTCCGTACTTAAAGTGAATGGACCTCGGTGATAAGGCTGCAAACGTGACAATTATAGTTTGCAAGGCAGGAAAAAGGCAAAATCGTGCCCACTATCGACCGTCTATTATTAAAAAGTTTATTATTAAAAAGGTGCAACAAAATAAAAGCCAATTCCTCGCTTCTAATTTAAACTGATCACCTTTTTCTCATTTGAAGAAAGTAATTAAGTTTTCATTAAGTCCTCCGGATGTTTTTCAGGCTGTTGTCTGGTAACAATATGCCTCCAGACAGCTGTGTAATCAAGAGTTGGTGGTTGGAGTGAATGAAGAGGCCAAGCGAGTAGGCTAGGAGTGGGAGCTACGGGCTCACACACGGCAATGTATTTGCTCAACCTGCTGCTTTGTATTTTATAACGTCTCGTCAATAATTAAATTTTGCGAATTAGGGTTTTCGGTTATTCATATTTTATGTTTGTAAATGCTCAAAATAAGGGGGGGGGGGTGTATGTTCAATTCAATTCAATTCAACTTCACATTTATTTCCATGCTTCATGAAGAAAAAAAATATATATATATACAAACTTTAGAGAAAAGGGTTAAACAATAAAGCAGTAAATATCAAATTAATAGCAAAATAAAAGAAGCAAATAGAGCCTAGGGCTGTTTTAATAAGCAGAAAATTGTGGGAAAACAGCCGACAGAAACAACACTGGACAAACAAACAAACAACCAAAAAAAAAAAAAACCAGACAAAGACATTACAATGATAAGCAGACACGAGACAGGGAACATATACTGATGACAGTAAATTTGCAATGTTGCAAATTTACTTTCTGAACATCTGGGGTTTTTTTTACAGAAATTTATGCCTAGGCATTTCATTCCCCAACTGGTTGGATATAAACATGATGCTCCCATTTCTTTCTTTTTTAAACTTACATGGAGTGTAAAAGTTCTAACAGTGCTAAAAACAAAAACCGAAAACTCATAAGGTACAATTTACTTTAATCATTGAAATTGATTTCTGGGTTTATTGCGATTGGAAAAATCACATTGGCTGTTACCACAACATACTGTATATCACATTCACAGCGAACGAGCAGATGACATTTTTCATGCAAACCTTTTAGACACAGGCTTCATCGTATTTTATTGCTCCAATTAAAATAACGTTTTAAATACGATCTTAAATCAAAAGTTTTTCGTATACCAAAACTCCCGGAACTTGTTATGGTCATTTGAAAAAACATAAGAGCGAGTGATTGGCAAGCATTAACCAAATGTACAACATTCGGCTGGTTTTACGATTTGCCTCACACTGCCTACAAAATAATGTCAATGATTGTCAACGGGCATGCATTCCGATCCATGCCCATATTTCCTTGGAGCAGGCCTTCGTCTAATCACGCTTTATGCCTTGACATAACATTTCCTTGAAACGGCTATAGAATATTCTTGTACAAATTGAAATCGTAAGCATACCAGACATTTTTAAAATGTCCCTTTCAAAACTCTTAATAGTTAATTTATGTTATTTTAGCCTTGCAATTATGATGTTTTCAATGAAAACAAGAAAACTTAAATCTGCAAGCAGTGAAACACGCATCATTGCTTAGAATTGTCTAATCCTTTTTATTCATATATACAATTTCACATTTGTGCTATTGTGACTGATCCAGTCGGGAGTCGATTTAAACCAAAATAAAAAGAGCTTATATATTTTGACATTCCGAAATTCGTTTTCAGAAACACACACTTAATTAATACGCTTTTTTGTTTATATTCATGGTTGCTCTTGTTTGTTTTTTATTTAGTTTTTTTATTACGGTAATTGTTTTTTGTTTGATTCCTTTTGTTTTGTTTTTGTTGTCACAGAGTTTTTCACGTAGCGCATTGCTGGCCTCTTTTTTTCTCTTTTTTTAAACTTTGTAGAGATCAAGTTGAGCAGCACATAAGCACAATGCACCTAGGTTTGAGAGTCGTTTTGAGTGTGTTTAAGTCTTGTGTTATAATAGCCTACATTCGCAACACTTATTAACCATCCACTTCCCTCACTATAACCTATATATATTTTTTTGCAGCATTTGTCCATCTAAAGTCATGGCGCTCCTTTAAAGCGAATAACTCCCTTTGGGTTGACACCATTTTGTTTATTGGATTTCTCTACTTTATTGGCCTATCATCATTCGTCAGGAAGATTCAAAGTTCAAGTCATACATGCCTCAGCGGTGGCGTTATCCGATACCCAACGTACGGAAACGGGAGCTTTTATCTGCCTTTTAACGAAATGTCGAAATGAAAGACTTGAAGGTTAAAGGAAAACTTCAATCTAGAGTTGGCCCAACAACACTGCATGATTAACATTCAATATGTAGTACATAATTGAATCAAATCGATTACGTCATACACTGTATAACAATCTGATTTGTGCATTGATCTTTCACAGTTATTTCCATATTGAGAATGACTTTAATAGGAAGAAAGTACACTTTAATGTCAACGTTTTGACGAGAACAGGCATCGTATAATTATGGAAGTGAATCTCGACATGAATCTGAACTCGCTCGGACTTCATATTCTCGTTCTCGACATTTGTCAATATTTCCAAACAATGTATATCTATATTATTTCAAATTTGTCGAATCTGGAAATACTGTAGGCCTACTTGTATTTGATTTCTGTTTGGTGTCCACTGAATCCGTCATGCGGGAAAAAAATTATATTACAAACTCCGTGTTTTACAACTGTAAATCATGTGACCCGTGAGCTATATTTAGGTTATTTGTTATTGAAATCTCATTATGTGAGCACGGCGGCGTAATGCTGTCATTTCCTTTGGTGCCCGATTTGCCTCCAAGTTTCCGGTCTAATTTCCCCGCAGGCGTTATAAGAATTCGCCCCTTTGCCCGCAATCCTAGGAAATAATTTGGCATAGCTGCACGTATGCCACATATACGTCATAACGTCGCCAGTCTGGAAACCTACCATTTTACTGAGCTCATTGAGATGTGCCAACCTTGCCGTTTATTCATTAAAAAAAGACCATCATGATCGTTCTCTACTTAATATCTCATCAATATTTGAATGAAAAACCATACGCGAACAATATGAAAGAGAACAGAAAAAAAAGGTCAGACAAATAATTTAAGGAAGAGTTATATCTATTTGAAAGACAACAGACAAAGCTGAATGCCCCGAAACGAAAAAGTAATTAATAAAATTCCATTATCCAAGGTGCTCCTGAAACTGTTAATTTGATTGAACCAACTGAAAAATTCAATATTGATTATGAGAAATTCAATCATGCAAATGCAAATAGAAATGCAAGGGGAAAAAACGAAATTAAACGAATGGACTCAGTTATGTATAAGCAAAATTGTGGGTGCCTAAATTGAAATGGGATATAAAAGGGCAGAAAGAAACCTCAATTGACCGGATCAAAATAGCGCAAATTTAGAGTATGGAATGGGTCACCTAACATCAGGAAGCCTTTTAAGTTATATACTAAAAGTGAGCAAAACACACAAATGAAAAAAAACACCATATGTCATGGTGGCGACAAACCGACTGAATTTTTGTCTGGCAAATTTTTTTTGCAGACCGTTTAATATTAAAACATATACCGGCACGTATGTTTGATAGTTTTACAAGTTTATTCAGGTTTTATTTCTTTACTCAGTATGATTTAAGCTGTTTCTTATAGAAGGATGGAAATATAAGTAACAGTGAAAGAAAAATAACAAACTACGCAGTTATGTGATTATATATTGATGCATTTTTAAATTTGTATATATTCTTTTTAATTTTGCTTGCTGGGGAATCTTTCAATGAAACAGCGGTTACCATATCTAGGCAAACAAGTAAAAAGAAACGCACACAATTTTAAGATGGATTATCAAAACAAAAAGTAGGCCCTACACAAACACATTGTGCCATCTCCTATCACAAGTAGGTCTGTACTGTCGAGTCTCGTTATAACAAACTCGTTCGGACCTAGCCAAATTGTTTGTCATATCAGAATTTTGTATTAAGAGGAACATCAGTCCCATTCATTGTGCACATAAATGCACAGTCGGGACCAAGGCTTTATGTTTGTTATAACCAGAATTTTGTATTAACAGAGTTTGTACTAACGAGAGTAGTGCTCAGGTCAAGGATATACAAGCAACGTGGACTGAGTCTTAACAAGATCCGCACGATTAAATTGAACACCGTGACAAACATACAACGCAAGTTGTTTTCAACATTTATACAAAAAAATAATTCGCAATGTATAGGCCTAAAACCCAACTTGAAGAGCCGATGAGAGATCTGTAGGCCTAAATATTCTTTCAATTTGAGTCTGGATAATTACAGATGACGAACCTAATGGGAAGCGTTCAGTTGTTGTAGCTCTTTGCCCTGGTTACCATACGGATCAGTGGTTTATAAATACCACACATCCTCTGCAGCGAAGCACTGATTCATTCTTCCCTTTCCTAACCATCCCAATGTTTGTTTACCTACAAAATCATTACTTCGTCACATAAGAACTCTGTTTTCGGCCGAAACACACATATTCTTTTAAATTCTTGGATAACCCATAGGCCCAATAATCCGCATGTCAAGCACGCTGACCAGTGAAGGTTGAGTAAAGCTTCAAGGGCCAAAACAATTTAGTCCAAAACAATAAAACAACGTCATCAAACATTCAAACGGTAGTTGCGCCCAGTCAGCTTCTGTTAGTAGATTTTAATAATAAATCGTATACGTATAACATTGTCTTCAAATTGTTTTATTTGAATTCAGTCTACTTGTGCGTATCCATGGCGAACAAAAGGACTCAGCCTATTACAACCGGATTTCTACGATTTCGGTTTATAATACCACACTGAATGGAATCGTACGCAATGAACCATACTTATTTGCGTTAATAAATGGAATTATGCATCGGCCTGCAGAGTTCTGTGCTTTGAATAAAAGACAACATTTGCATTTATCGTAATATTTATGGAATGGACTGAATTGAGGCTATGCCAGATATCGCTCCATTATGACCAGTCCAATATTTCGTGTCCATCGGTGCCAGAAAAAAAACCACGATAGTCGTTTTGAACCCGTCAAAGGGCAAAGGCTCGCCCAATTTGCCTTGCATAGTAAAACCCATAAGTCACAGGCCGTGCCTGAGTGCCGACTGTGTCGTGGGAAAAACATTACATGCGAACTTGAGCGTACGCAAGAGGTCAATAGCTGGCTTGCACCCGTTAACGGATGAGAAAAAAAGTTTCTCCAACGTTCGTTGGGCCGGACGGTCGTTGGAAAATGATACAAATGTCTCCTTTTCGTTAGTAAAGGCACAGCATATCATGCGTAACAGGATGTTTGATATCACTCTTAACCAAGTGAGCTATTTAATATCGATTTGACAATTTTTATTTTTTTGACTTTGCTAATGTTGTACATATACCTTTAAGCAAAGACTGCACATGAAACAGGTTCAGTTCAGTTTAAACTTGTCTATACAGGCTGTATTTTTCGTCTGTTGTTTCGATGTCCAAACTAAGACTCACCTGCGAATTCAGAAATCGTAATCTTGACCTTGACCGAGATCTGTCACGGTTTCCCTCGAGTGCGTATCCTAAGTCGAAATCTTTCTTGTCGATCTCGACAATGGCCGCCTCATTTCCTATATCTTCCCGCTTCGCCAAGTCTTCCAGCTCCTTGTATTGTTGTAGCTGCTCTTGCTGCTTAGAAATATCTCCCTCGAGACCTGCATCTTCATTCAATTTTTCTGTTTTCTTCTCGGAATCAGGCACAATCTTAGTAAACTGGGCTTCATCAACACTTAGCACCGATGCGAAAATACAGTGCGTAATAACTCCCACGAAAAAGACCAGCCGACGCGACAACAATGCCATGATGGTCTAGTACAAACTTGGTCTGCTGCAAGGTTACAATTCTAGACGAGTTTAGAGACCAGCGGGTGCCTGCCCGTGTTAGCCGGCAGCGCGCTGTGCTTTGCGGGTTGTTTTTCTATCAACTCCCCGTGAAATCGTTCGGAAAGTCGTGATGTGAGAGGCCAAGGAACTACAGATAACTTAACGCTACGACGGCCTCACCGCGACTAGTCTTGAATCGGACAACTCTTAAGCTCCACTACTTCCCCTTATGACAGCCAGATTTGATGGGTTGTGGAGTATTCCATTTTCAAATGGGTAAAACTAACTTTCAAGATTATGGCACGGGAGGAAAGGGATGCTTGAAAATTAACCCTTTGTTGCTTCGTGTTTTTACAGTGCGCGTTCAGCAGCAGCTCTGACAGACGACGCGAAATCCAGTTACATAAATAGCATATGATATATGCTGTAATTCGCAAAGGGCCATCCTTTCTTAAAATAAGTTCCAACCGCAATAAAGATATGTATGTTGCAGTAAAATAAGGAAATGAAAGGTAAAGGATTAATAATACAATACGTATGAAGTTCAGGTGAGTTTGCCTTTGTATTTGTTTCCTCAAGTTTACATATAGTTACAAGTAAACGCGCATCGCCTTTACTATCTATTTTTTTTTTTTTTTTTTAAAGAAGAAACATTTGGTTTGTAAGCAATAAATTTGCTTTAAGCCGAAGAGGCCCGATCAAAAACGTACACAGATTAACACAAAAAAGGCCTACTTTACATTGTGTCGGCATTCCTTTGTCTTCGTGAATTTAAAAAGTGGAGAAAAAAATACTTACACTGTGAAAACGTTTTTAATCATGATTTCCTCGAGTGCTCCTCTTCTTTTTGCCACACATAACGGTAGCCCCAAAATTCCTCTAGACCTGTTTTTCATAACCTTGTGTGGACCTAGCTTGGTCCACAGAAGGTCGCAACCTGCATCGCGTGGACCTGTTTTGTTTTCAGGCCCACACAAAGATGGCAAGATTGGCACACAAACAAAACATCTGTGATGTTCAACCGTGCACTCCACATCGTTTAATTAATACATGCATATACATGGGCACATGATTGGCTCGGATGATTTTGATCTTTTCAAGAAGAAAGTGATTCGTTCACAGTTCGGAAACGTCAACATTTGCAAAGAAAATTACAAGTAAAGAGACTTTCTGTAATGCCCACTTGCTCATACCTTGAAGCGAGGTGATGCGATCGATTAGTCATGTTATTGGGCCAAGTACCTTTTCCTTCCCTGAGCTCACGGCATCGTCGTGAGTCCTTAAAAACATCGTGGCGAACGTCAAAACAGTCCAACAGAATATGTCTGCAAATTGTCACATTCATTTAAAGGGCTCATGACATGATTTTCAAACTGCAATACAGTTGTAGCAATCCATTCCTCTGAAATATGTAAGAACTATGAGACATCCTTTTTTTGTAAAAGGTTTGCAAATTGCACTTGTTTTTAACATTTAAAATGTTTCAATGCTTTTCCTTACAACTGAGGGTGTTGTTGCTGTGGTGTCATTTTAGGAACACACTCTTCAGATTAATTTTTTTTTCTCAAATTGTAAACCCAAAATTCTGCTTATTGAAAGCATTTGTGCATAAAGCTTTTCGTCTTACTGGTATAATACTGAAACCAAAAAATGAACCACTGAGGGCAGAAAATAACCACAGCAAACCCCTAAAATTCTGGTGACTTTTTATGCTGAAGCAGACGTGAAAAATCACAGTTTTGCTCATGAATATGAAAATTTGACATTAGCATAAAAACTAACAAGGCACAAAAAAACGCCCTTAAAATAGCAATATGAAGATTCAAAAAAAGTAAAATGTAACACAAAGGTACATTTCAAGGATTGTATTAATAAAAATAAAATCTTTACATTAGCCCTTTAATGTTCTGTTAAAGCGAAATATGGGTTAGACTATTGTTTGAAGCCGGTCCGCTTCCGCTGACCTGGGGGGAGCTGGCGCTTTCGATCACAGCTGGCATAGCTGTTGTAGTACAAAGAAAGAAACTGCATGCACATAAACTCCAAGCTTGGGCCCAGACAACTGCAGGCCAGAGGAGCCGGATTCTCATTAACTCAGTGGTGACGTGCAACCTCCGTTTTCCTAGAATTATTCTATCATAAACAAGGGGTCGTATCTCTTGCATTTGGACTGGGAGAGATGAGATGCCACATCAGTCCCAATGTCCGTTCAGGATTACGAGAAAATGTCGACAATATACGGTTGTTTTTGGATTTCAAGTTGTGTAATGGGATCAACTACGGAATTGATACTGAATTTAACAGTGAGGGGTTTCAAGTAAAACAATCGTTTAACGATAGAGTATATACAGACGGTAAAGCAACTAAACTTCAGAGAGAAAGCGGACAAAAACTAAGTGTGTCATCAGAGGACAATCCAATGAAGCTTAAGGAATAGCAGTGAGAACAGAATCATGAAAACGGAGAGAAAACATTAATTGGCGCCTTGAGTACCCGATAATGTTGGTAGATACGTGCGCTATATGACTCTGGTTATTATTATTATTATTATTATTCTATTATAGAATTAGAACCCCCCCCCCCACCAAAAAAAACACACCTCTATTTTGTAAATAACTGTCCAGAACGAATCAACGTGCATTAATTGATAGTATGAGTGTGTTACTGAACACAATAATGGATACAGACCAGACACGTTTAACGAAGAAATATAAGGCGAAGTAAAAAAAAAATAAAAAAATGTTTCTCGTCCCCGCCCGCTTCCTTTTTGGAGGCCGCCTGGATTTTGTTATTATTTTTTATTTTTGAAAAATGCAGTACAAAAAACACCGAAAAAGTCCACAAATTCATTGGAAAATAAATTGTAGACCAATACAAGTCTAAATGACACTGTAAATATGTTTAGTTCTCTCGTCCAACTTATCTTTCATTTTAAAAGTGTCTTTGAACAGTGGAAACACCAACAATTGCAGAAAATTTTTAAACGGCGGCCATCTTGAAACAAATAAAAAATAAAAAATAAAAAGCCCCGCTTCCTCCTTTTTTTTCTCGAAAACCCGGACGAGAAACATGGTTTTTTTTTATTCGGCCTAATGTCCAATCTTATGAGGTAAACCAAACTGTAGTCGGCCCATAATGCAGGAAATTTGTGTCTGCATTGTGGTGAGTCATCTGTCACGTTTAGGAACAATGACCTATACACTCACTTCCCTGGTCTTTCCTAAATAACCCAATTTTCGCGAATAATGTTTCAACCTAAACCAGAGTACAGAGAATAGCGGCTGATTCATAAACCCGGATCGGTGGGTCATGATAAAATAACAGCGTCACGCAGAGTAGCATTGATTCATCCCCTCCTCTCAAACCCTTGGCAATTTGAAGATTTTTGTTTACCTTTGCAAAATCGTTACTGAATCACAATAAGAAGTCTGTTTTCATCAGAAACACACATATTCTTTTAAATTCTTGGACAACCCATAATAATCAGTGTAAAACCGTACGTATCATCACACGCTGGCTGACCAATAAACATTGAGTAGAGCTGCAAGGGCAAACAACTTCGTCTAAAACAATACGTTTACATATTTAATGTCATCACCGAGCATTTATACGGTAGTTGCTTAGAATACCTTTGTTTACAGGTAGTAGAATACATATACATTTGTCGTAACTTTATGAAATCGGAAGTAAATTTGGGAGTAGTAATGTATACCAGATGTCGCTCCACCGTTAAATAAGCCTATATACGTGCAGGCTATTTACTTAGTAAATCGAACACGGGCCGCCATTTCATTCCAGTGAGGCTTGCTCACCCATGTTGTACCTTATAGCCTATTGCCGGTTGTCCGCAACATAAGGAGATCGGATTATGTGCTTGTCAATTCGCTTGCACAAGCATTTTCTGCGTGTGGTCACCGTATTAGCCGAGACTACAAAGCAGATGTTCTAATGACGATTGGACAATGGTAAAACAATAATGAGACCATTCTGACAAACATGATCTGCGTACTTCCTGAACTAGAAATCGGAATTGGATCTGATGAGTGATGAAGACCGTTGGTTGTTTTGTTACGGTCATCTATGGCAGGGAGCATGGGCGGATATCCGAGGGGTGAGGGTTGGGGGTGGGGGTTGAGGGATATACGGGTGGGGGATGTACCCCCCCCCCTCCCACTGTTTGGGCGGGGTATGGTGTATACAATCACCCCCACCCCAATTTCCAACACCCTTTATTAAATAGCGCCCTCAATCTGCGAATAGTCCTCCCCCCTCCCCCGTAACATCCAACTCCCAACCCCCACTCGCTCCCATAGGATGAAAACCCTGGCTTCGCCGCTGAGACTTTACGGGATGTGCGGCTCGGAAAAAACTAGCTGGTTATATCACCATTTGTTGTGGTTATTTCACCAAACCAACACGTATATCATAGTATTTTGATGTGAAACGCACTTTGCTCAGAGTTTGCCAAATGAAATACCCGGCACTACGCAAAATGGTGATTTAATTGACAGTAACTTTTGTCGAGTCGCATGCACACATATTCCGTAGGCTTCGCGTACCACTTCTAACGGTCCCTGATGTCATGAATATTGATTCGGAGAAATTTTTTATACATAAAACGTCCATAGGAAAAAAAACGGTATTTTTTCCGGAGAGGAATCTGCTCTTTCTATTGGCGTAGCATAGCAACGGAAGGTTGGGGGACACAAATAAAACTCCGAAAAACAAAGGACCAGAGAGGCCTGAGGCAAGTTAGCTAAAGGTGTTTAAAGGTAGAGTCCATCATTTGCAGCCATCCGAAAAGTAACTGGCGTAATTATTGTTGAAAAACTAACTTGGTTGAAAGATAGTAAGGGTATTAATCTCCCTGTGAAATTATTCTTTCTGGGAAGCTGTCATTTTGAAGTAATCAACGAAAGAAGGCATTTCCAACGGTGATTCTTAAGAAGCACCGTAGGAAAATTTATATTAGTAGTTCGTTTTGTTATTCAGCGAAGCGCGCACAAGTATTCGAACGACGCACACGCGCGCGCGGTTGTTATAATTCGTTGGATCAGTGCGCGACGTCGCGTATAGTTGCAATTCAAAACATGATTCAGCAACTTTTGATTTGAAATTGAGATCTTAGAATGCTGTTTTTCTCGGAATGTACAGCTGAAGCTCAGCTGAAACTTCATCAGGTTAGTTGCTCAGTATCCTTCATTAGATTTTGAACTCTTT